AAAAAAATAAAAACAAATAAAAATAAAAAGATGAAAACAGATGATAGGGTAATTATGGATAGTCTGATTTCATTTCATTTTAAAATTTCCTCAAGAATTTTTGCCATATGGATTGAGAAACAAAACAAAAACAAAAAGTAGAAGACTACAGTGAAGGAGGGTATAGCAGAGGAGGGTCAGCATTTATCAGCACCGCTCTTTTCCAAGGGGGGTCAGCATTTAATAGAGAGGAAAGACTATGAAACACAATCTGAGATAATTATAGAGAACTTAATACATGCCAGCACTATTTTAAGTATTTTACATGGATTATCTCATTTAATCACAATACTACTCTGCAAGTTAGGTGCTATTGTTAACATACCCATTCTATAAATTAGGAAACTGAGGCTTAGAAAAACTAAGTCACTTAAGACCACACAGTAGTAAGTGAAGAACCAGAAATCAAACCCAGATGGTTTAATTCCAGAGCCACTGTCTTAAATCACTAAGCCACCTAGGAGGGGTCATCTCCTATAGCTCTAGGGAAAAATGGTTATTGGGGTGGGGAGGAGAGTGTAAAGCAGAGAGCAGTCAGAGATGAGGCTGGAAAATTAGACTTGCATCAGGACATCTAATCTCTATCCTATACCCTATCAAGAGCTTTTGAAGATCTCGGTTTCCTTCTGATTGAGTACGTTTCCAGAATCTGACCATTTCTGATCACTTCATCACTATTACCCTGGCCCAAGCCACCACCATCTCTCCTGGGATTTACTAATACTGTCCTAACAGATCTCCCTTTTATCTTCACTCCCCTGGAGTCTAACTTTTTTTTAAAATCTTTGGTTTTTTTTCCTTGGTGGCTTGCCAGTAACGGGATCTAAAAACTTGACCTTGGTGTTATCAGCACCATGTTCTAACCAAGTGAGCTAACCAGTCAGCTCCCCTAGAATCTATTTTTAACAAGCAACCAAATCATCCCTTTGAAATGTAAGTTAGAGCATGTCTATGTTCCGTGCGAAACCAGCAATGGTTCCCTATTTCCCTCACAGTGACAAGGTCCCCAAAATAGCTTTCATGGATCCACCTGCTCTGCTTTCATCCCCATTACATCTCTGACGCCATCTACTAGTGGTTTTCACCTTACTCGCTGCCCCCACACTGACTTCTATGCTTATGTCATACATGCTCCTACCTCAGGGCCTTTGTTCTAACTGTCCCCATTGCCTAGAACCTTTTCCCACACATCCACTCGATAAATTCCTGTAACTCCTTCACATCGTTGTTTGAATGCCACTTACTTATTGAGGCCTACATTTTTTTTTTTTTGGCAGCTGGCCAGTACTGGGAATGGTACCCTTGACCTTGGTGTTACAAGGCTGCACTCTAACCAACTGAGTTAACCGGCCAGCCTTGAGGTCTACTTTTACTAGTATAACTAACTTCCCTCCCTCTCGTGATCCCCACCTATGCCTGCTTTCTCAATTCCCCTTACTCTGATCCACTTTTTCTTTTTTTCCACACCATTTGTCACATTCTAACATACTAGGAGGTTTATCTTTTATGGTTATTTTCTGTGTTCCTCTGACAGAACATAAGCTCCTCGAGAGTAGGAATCTTTTTGTTTACTGAGGTAGCTCAAGCATCTAGAAGAATGCCCAAGGTGGTGATCAACAGAAACTGACAATGGAAATAAACTGCAAATGACATTAAAAGGAGAAATTACACTTTCACAAATAAACAGATTTTTAAGAGAGAATGTAATTAATAGATACTTAATGTAGTCATTGATTTGTTTTAGGAGAAACTAGAATTCTATTTCCCTAAACCTATTAGTTCTGTAGCTAAATTGAACTTTTTTTTAAGCAAAACACTTTCGATTTGTTAAAACTGTGATAAACCCTAAAAGACATTAAATATTGTTTACATTCTCAAAGTTCTCTTCTAAAAATATTTTAGGGCTGCCTGGTTAGCTCAATTGGTTAGAGCATGGTGCTGATAACACCCAGGTCCAGGGTTCAATGGCTGTACCAGCCAGTTGCCAGAAAAAAAAAAAAAAGGGAATTAAAAATATTTCAGTATGCTGTGCATTAGTTATCTATTGGCGTATAACAAATAACCCTAAAACTTAGTAGCTTAAAACAACAAAAAATTTTATTATCTCGCAGTTTCCATGGTTCAGGAATTTAGGAGTGATTTAATCGGGTAGTTCTGGCTCAGGGTCTCTCATGAAATTGTAGTCAAGATGTAGGCTGGGCTGCAGTCATCTGAAGGGTGACTGGGGCTGGAGGACCCACATCCAAGATGGCTCACTCAATGGCTGGCAAGTTGTTGCTGGCTGTGAGCAGGGAGCCTCAGCTGATCCCCACATGGACTTTCCACAGGGCTTGAATGTCTTTACATGGTGGCTGGCTTCTTCCAGAGTGGGCAATCCAATAAGAGCAAGGCAGAAGCACCAATGTCTTTTAAGACTTAGCCTTGTAAGTCAAACACTGTCACTCCCCTATATTTTAATGGTCATACAGACCAACGCTGATGAAATGTGCAAGGGGACTACACAGGGCGTGAATATTAGGAGGTGAGGATGGGGCCATTAGGGAGGTTGGTTACTGCAAGATAAAACACATATTTGCATAGCATTTTGTGTTCAGTTTTTTTTCCCCTCAGTATGTATACATATATATTTCTATTAACACAGCTCACACACTTCTAGTTTTAGGAAATGCACATTATTTAAACAATATTAACTCTTTTTTTTTTAAAAGATGACTGGTAAGGGGATCTTAACCCTTGACTTGGTGTTGTCAGCACCACGCTCACCCAGTGAGCAAACCAGCCATCCCTATATGGGATCCGAACCCGTGGCCTTGGTGTTATCAGCACCACACTCTCCCGAGTGAGCCACAGGCTGGCCCAAAACAATATTAACTATTAAAAATTAAAAACAGTATTTACTTTTAACTTCTCTGAAAATATCATACATTACCACTTGAAGCTTTCCATTTGGTTACTGTCCCAATATTTTACTTAATAAAAGGAATTAAAGTCAGAAAAACCACAACTAACACAATGTCCTGCTTGTTTCTAAGGGTGAAAATGAATTTAAAAACTTCAGATAAAAGTCAGATATATTAAGGAAAGAATAAGAAGAAAACAAATGAATCGTTAGATTTGCTTTGGAGATAGCTATCAATTAATAATTAATTAAACCTAATGAAATTAAATACTAAATCACGGCCTGGCTGGTTAGCTAAGTTGGTTAGAGCGCAGTATTGATAACACCAAGGTCAAGGATTCAGATCCTCATACTGACCAGCCATCAAAAAAACAAAAACAACAAAAAAACAACTAAATCACAGAAGATATAGAATAAAAACATTTATATTAATGGAATAGAAACTGGCTTTGTGCTACATACAGAAAAAAATGTATAATCACACAATGGTAACGTTAATACTTAGGTACCGAAGAGGTATTTCATAGAAAGGGACAAGACTTGACAACTGAAACAGATTTGAAAACCACTGAAAACTTTTATAACAGGTACTTTTCAAAAGTCAACAAAACTAATAAATGGGTTTATTTAAAAATCAACTTTTATTAGATCACTCCCAAGGAGTTGTACTAAGATCTGTGAGTGCAGAAATAATAGGGGGAGAGATTTGACAGAAAGAATTTCTCAACAATACTCATATGAGTTGTCTCATACTGGTGAGGAGGGGAGGGTCCTTGCCCCAAGGATTCAGCTCAAACCTTATCATGTTATCCAGAGTGAATTTTGCAGATCAGAAAGCTAGTTGAATGATATATTCTTTAAGGTTTCCCCAACCCTAAAATCAAATACTCTTAATTCCCAATAAAGGAATTAGAATTGATGTACTGGTTACCAACAAATAAAATTCTTTTCTACAAACAGATGGTTTCTTTCTGTATTTTATTCCATTTTAATCAAAACTTTATTAGACAAGCATCAAAAAGGCCCATTCTGTACAATAAAACCATTTGAGTTACACCGAAATGAGTCAAGCAGTGTGTGACTTCACTCTCCATTGTTTCAGACTTGACTTAGCTACAATAATCACTGCCTGGGGAAAGCTGTTGCCACTGTTGCCTCTCTTTCTTCATAAGTCACAAGGCCTTTTCTTATGCATTCATTAAGAATCAAAGTCCTTTAGATAAGAAGATGCTATTCATCAGGAAGGGGTTCATATTGCACTTATTTGCAGAAGAGTAATTGCCAAGGATCAGTGCCATTTGCCACTGTTTATACTGTGGGAAGAGAAGTAAAAACATATTTTCCCTTTCTTGCTATCAACTGAAAAATACCTACTGCTTGAAACATGTTAAACCAAAATGAAAAGTATGAGAAAGATTAAAATATTACAAGGATACCTCACATAGAAAGCAAGAAATAGGGGTTCCCTATACTTACATTTTCTCAAATATATCTTTAAGATGCTTTCCCTCTAAATACATTTTAATTTTAACAGTTTGATAAAAATGTTTCTAAAGTTAATTACATAATTTCCGACAAGGAACATGCTCCTTCATTTATGGTTCAGGGTTGTGATTATGATCATAAGTTGTACTCATATTTTCCTGTAAACTTGGAATGCCTTCAGGGGCTACAGGTCTTCAGGACTGTTTGCCCTTCTACCACGAAATGGTCCCAGACTGCTGTTTTTTGAGCTAGTTTTCCTTGACATCATGCTATCTATTATCACTGATCAATGTGGTCATGTGACCAACTCTTTCAATAAGCTACCATCATCTAATTTTCTTTTTAAATCTGTTTTGGGATGTGAATCAGTGAGCCATAATTATTAGAATTTTATGTCAACATATGCAAAGGAGGACCTCTCCAACAGAATAAGGGTCATGGGCTTTGTGACAGCTCTTTTAGTGACTTACAGACCCCTTTCCATTCAATGTGAGCTCTGAACTAGAAACAAGAAAGCAGACTCTGTAGAAATCTGACCTATGAAAAAGTAGGGTATTACTTTATATAGGTTACTTACCAATTTTTTCTTTTCCTTCTGGGCTTTCTCCTTTGTTCCCTCAACTAATATGTTACTTTTTCAACCTGTAGAAGATGGACATGGATAGTCATAAGAGAAAAATTCTCTCTTTTCTCTGTTGTCAGTATGCCTATTTTTGATTCAGTTATCTCTTTCTACATTTCTATTTCCAATATGTTCAGGCTTTGGAAACAAGCATTAGACGTGTAGTCTAATACTCTTTGGCTCTTTCTCTTCTTCTACACTTTCTTCTCATTCAAACTACATCAACCATTCTCACAACCCAACCAGCTCATTTACAAAGTCAGGGACAGCAACAGAAGCAAGTCACACTCCCTCTAAAAGCTAGTGTGTAAGTGTGTGTAAATGTATGTATGTAAATGGAGGGCAGCAGTGACTAAGGAGTTAATTCATATGTAAAGAGCATAAAATCTTGTTTATGCATTTTGTGAGGTCCTTTTTGGGCTTTGAAGAACTCAAACACCAGCTGTATGTTCCACAGTGTGATCAATGAGTGGCCACTTACTATTATGTGTGTAAGTACATGGTTAAAAGTTATCAAGCCAAGGCCGGCCCGGTGGCGCACTGCGCTAGTGCACCACTTGGGAAGCGCGGAGGCGCTCCCGCCGAGGGTTTGGATCCCACATACAGACCGGCTCCCGCTCACTGGCTGAGCGAGGCGCGGGGGCAGCACCGAGGGTTGCGATCCCGTTGCCGGTCCCGGTCCGGTACGGGGGCGACACTGAGGGTTGCGATCCGTTGCCGGGCCCGGTCCGGTCCGGGGGCGACACTGAGGGTTGCGATCCGTTGCCGGGCCCGGTCCGGTCCGGGGGCGACACTGAGGGTTGCGATCCGTTGCCGGGCCCGGTCCGGTCCGGGGGCGACACTGAGGGTTGCGATCCGTTGCCGGGCCCGGTCCGGTCCGGGGGCGACACTGAGGGTTGCGATCCGTTGCCGGGCCCGGTCCGGTCCGGGGGCGACACTGAGGGTTGCGATCCGTTGCCGGGCCCGGTCCGGTCCGGGGGCGACACTGAGGGTTGCGATCCGTTGCCGGGCCCGGTCCGGTCCGGGGGCGACACTGAGGGTTGCGATCCGTTGCCGGACACGGAAAAAAAAGACAAAAAAAAAAAAAAAAAGTTATCAAGCCAATCCCAATCCTAGGTACCTACCCACAAGAATTGAAAACAGGGACTCAGACAGATATTTCTACGCCAATGTTCATTGCAGCATTATTCACAATAGCCAGATGTGGAAATAATTCAAATGTCCATCAACAGATGTATGTATAAGCAAAAAATGGTATATCCATACAAAGGAATATTATTTAGCCATAAATAGGGACAAAGTTCTGATACATGCTATAACAAGGATGAACCCTGAAAGCATTATGCTAAATGAAAGCCAGACGGCTGACTGGCCAGCTCAGCTGGTTAGAACATGGTATTATAGGGCTGGCCCCGTGGCGCACTCAGGAGAGTGCGGCGCTGGGAGCGCAGCGACGCTCCTGCCGCGGGTTCGGATCCTATATAGAACTGGCTGGTGCGCTCACTGGCTGAGCGCGGTGCAGGCGACACCACACCAAGGGTTGTGATCCCCTTACCGGTCACAAAAAAGACAAAAAAATAAAATAAAAAGAACATGGTATTATAACACTAAGGTCAGGGGTTTGGTTCCCCTTACCAGCCAGTTGCAAAAAAAAAAAAGTGAAAGCCAAACACAAAAAGCCATCTATTTGTGATTTCACTTACATGAAATGCCTAGAATAGGTGAATTCATTAAAACAGAAGCAGCTTAGAGCTTATCAGGGATTGGGGGAAGAGGAGAATGAGGAGTTATTGCTTAACAGATACAGAGTTTTTGCTTAGGGTGAGGAGAAAGTTTGGGAAATAGTACAGTAGTGATGGCTGTAAATACTGTGAATGTAATTAATACCACTGATCCGTACACTTAAAAATGCTCAAAATAACAATTTTTGTTATATATATTTTACTACAGTAAAAAATTTTCCAAAAAAAGGAGGGAGAGACGAAGCACTTCAAACACAAGTTTTATATGTTTTTTGGCTGCTGGCTGGTATAGACATCTAACCCTGGACCTTGGTGTTACCAGCACCACACTCTAACCCACTGAGCCAACCAGCCAGCACCTCACACATAAACTCTTAAGAGGAAAAACTCTGGCTGGTATTTCAAAAGAGCAACAGTTATGATAACACATTATAGCTGAGCTATCTCACAAGCACACAGCCAATTTTGACTTAAATTCTGAAGGGTAGCACTGATACACAGAAAATGTCTAAGTATTTGAGTTCATACAGTAGATCTCATTCCCTCAGAAAGAGAGTTAAACTAACCCATGCTACATAAATCTGATTACAGATTCAAGAGGATTTGAATTATGAATTTGACTTATGCAACAAATGATATAAATTCCAACTATAGGGTCTCCAAAGCAAACATTTTCAACAAAGGACTTCTTATGCTTTGTTGACTATAGGTTAAACACTCTCCAGGTGGTTCCCTTGGAATCCCAGGATGACTTCAATGCTATCTACCCCCAAGTATGCAATCTTGACATTTCTATTAAGTCTTCCTTTCAAAAACATTTAAGTTGAACAGCCTAATAACACCAAGGTCACAAGTGTGGATCCTCATACTGGCCAGCCACCAAAAAACCAAACAAAAAACCATAACACTTAAATTTTGTGTATGCCAGAACACTGAACTCAAAACAAGAGATACTTCGAACTGGCATCTCTAAATCTCCCCCTCTCTCTACACACGTATGAGGGCATTTCAAAAAGTTCTTGGAAAAATAGAATTAAAAGATAATATGAATCTTTCCATGAACTATTTACAGACCCCTCATACACATAGAGGGTGAAATGAATTCTCTTCCTAATCTCCTATTTCTTTAGTGGCACCACAACTTTCCTAATACGCATCTCGAAATTTCATTATCTTTGAATTCTCCTCTCTCATGCCTTCTGTATTACAATCTTTTATGAAGAACTGATGATTCTTCCTTTGCAATATCTTTTCCATCTCTTCTTCCTTTTTTTCCTTCTTGTCTCCTTGCTGATATCTAAGTTCTGGCCTTTTACCGCAGACTTAAACTGTCACAGCCTCTAAACTGGTCTACCACTCACCAATGTCTCTATTCTCAAATTCACACACCACACTCTTCCTAAAATGCTGTTTTCATCATTTTCCCACTAAATGGTAAGTCACATCACTGCAAGGACTCACTCATCTTTGAGCACTACTTAGCACAGTACAACCTGATATATAACATACTCATGTTTAATTAATGTTTGTTGAATGAATTAATGAATATACAAATCATATCACTCTCTTTCTCAAAACTTTCATCAATTTCCCACTGTGCACAGCAGAAGTTACAAATTCAAATACCTACAGAGGCCAGGCAGGAAATGTAAATGAGTAAAGGTGTGCATAAAACAACAGGAAGTGGTGGGGACTGTGGCAAACTGGTGAGCACATGTCCCATCTAAAGGTGAAGCTTCTTGCTCTTCCCACTAATTGCTGCCATAATGGAATGCAAGCCACATATTGCCAGGTCTTCTGATTTTTCAAGATAAGCTGAAAGCACAGATTTCTACGTAAAATCTGCTGGTTTTTACATGAAGACAACTAATTCCACTTAAAACCCCAAACAAACCCAAAAAACCACCATGCAGGCCTAACAAAACACATCTATGGGCCAAATACAGTCCTTGAGTCACAAGTTGGTGACTCTGGTCTGCAGGATAAAAGACAAACTTGCCTGACATTCTGAGTCCTTTACTATGAGTTCCCAGCCTACCTCTTCAGAGCTTTGCCCCTACTTCCATACAAGAATTCTGTGCTAGTGGTTCTCAAACTTTAGCATGCATGAGAACCACCGGGAAGGCTTGTTAAACTATCGATTGCTGAACCTCATTGCCAGTGTTTTTTTTTTTTTTTTTGGGGGCTGGCCGGTACGGGGATCCAAACACTTGACACTGGTGTTATTAGCACCACACTCTACTAACTGAGCTAAATGGCCAGCCCCAGTTTTTGAATTTTTTTTTTTTTTTTGGGGGGGGGGGGGGGAGTGGCTGACTGGTATGGGGATCCGGACTCTTGACCTTGGTGTTACAAAGCTGCGCTCTAACCAACTGAGCTAACTGGCCAGCACCGCCAGTGTTTCTGATTCAGTAGATCTCAGGTGGAGCCTACAAAATTGCATTTCTAACAAGTTCCCAAGTAATGCTGATGCTACTGGTCTGTGGACCACACTAGGAACAACTGCTCTCAAAACTACTTGTCTCAAGCACACTCCCAATTTTGCTCACATTGTTCTACCTTCCCAGAGAGACTTCCCTCTTCTTTTCAGTCCACCTCCTTGTAAACTTTCCACGAAAACAACACTCTTAAATGCCTCAAAATTGCTATAGCACTTAGGATGTATGCCATCTTCCCTTTATCAATCACTGCTTGGTACTGTTTACTGTTAAGTGTGTATAGGTGCCAATAAGGTTGTGTATTATTGAAGATCAATGTCTAGGTTAAAGCCTTATACACCTGACTATAAGCAATTTCAGGGCAAGAGTTCTCTCTTGTCCCCCAGTATAACCCTCAAGCTATCAGAGAGCCCAGTATACAGTTAGTACTCACTGAATATTTCCTAAATGAACATTTGACAGATCTATGATATGAAAATGCAGACAAGTGGGTCTGAAGTTTGGGTATGTAATTTTTCTTAGAGAACTGACTTTTAGTCCTGGGCTAATGGCTATGTTGGGATGAACAACTAATAAAAATGGGATATTTTGCAAATAAAGCACCAATAGTTAAAAATTATTTGTGGCAATACATTTTGTATATAAATAAAACAATGAATGTTAAAAACTGATCTAAAATTGATAACATTAAATCCTTGGCCTCCAAGATTCCTTATAATGCCCCTGAAAGGATGTGAACTAGTTATAATATCACAAGATAACATCTATGTAATAGCATTCTATATTTGTAGCACATGCAAGAAAAAAGTGGGATGAAACTAAATTCCATGATACTCAGAAACATTGATCAGTCCCTTCAGATACAGTTTGGATAATAGTATATTTATTCAGGATTCTAAAGGCTGTGAGGAAAACAAAATAAAAAACTGTTCACCTTGTCTCTTCCACCTGTAGAGTAGTAGCATCTGCTATCAGGAGATTTCAAGGAAGATTTATGAGAAACCTGGTCTCCAAGGTAAACCAGAGTAAAGCCACAGACAACTTTGCAGAGTGTACCAGTTTTGGAATTACTAGAAGTAGAAGTACTATCTATATTGATACATAACAGTACTAAATTCTACATATGGCTTGTTAAACAATTCCACGCTTGATGACACAACAATGAATGGGAAAGAGAAAAATTAATATCATTTGGCAAAAGAGAATCAAATTCTGAAAGGAAAAAAAAAAACAACAACCCACCATCCAGAAGCACATGAAGTTCATTTATAACTTGAAGCTAGCAGAGATGTTACCTTACATATCCAGATATTTGCCCTACCAACCAGGACCATAATGATCTCATCTGCATGAAGACTTGGCCAAGACATTCCACATTTCTGTGTTGAACAGGAACTACAAAATCTGGGCAGAAAAAGAATTACAAAGCCAAATCAACAAAAACAGTAAGTGGTTTATTCCAAGTTTTAAAAGGATTAGCATTCTAAACAAAGAAACAAAGCAAATTTATTCAGCAAAATAATCCCTGAAACGTCACCATGGTAAAGCTACCTACTAGCAATTATGGAAGGATATGCTACCAGATAAATTGCTAAATAGCAACTTCCTACTCTACCGTTCGTACCATCAGTTGTTTCTCACCAACTCATGACTGAATAATAACATCCAGTTCTTTGGTAGAGAACCTGCAGATTCAGAACTGTAGATTCTAGAACCACCTCTACTAGAGTATGGAATCTTGGCATTTCTCTTAGCCATATTCATGTCACAAGAGTTTTATCCACTTAGTCAATAAAAACATGTATGATAAAGTACTATAAGGTACTACACATATATTAAAAATAATCCTGTTACAATCAAATTTTTATATTTATAAATTAATCTGTAAGTCTATGTTCAAATGATGAAAGTCATCTGACTTTCATACCATAAAGTAACCAGTTTTTAGAATAAATTCTGTGGAGCTCAGAAAATGATACCCCAGAGTATGGCACTTTGGCATGCTGAGTACTTTGAAATGAATGACATTGGGCCTCTCAGAAGCAAAGCCTCCCTCTGGCCTTCTCCTGCCCTTCTTTGTCCTGCATCCCTTTCACTCACAAGGCTCATTATAGAAACTAGAATTCCTCTACCCAAGGTAGTACGTCATGGAAACTAGAACCCCTCTTCCCCCAAACCAATCATACAATTTATTCTAATCTTCCCCCTCCTTTTTGTGTAACAGCTGGCCATAAAGAAATTCTCTGAAACTAGATCAGAAGATCCTCATTTCAGAAGTGGTCCTGCCCTCTCTACCCAGGAGAAAGGAATGCTACACAGACAGGCCCTTGCTTGATTCCCTACTCAGTCTATTACTGTTAGATCATTCACTTTTTGTCAAATCACATTTCTGTATAGCTCTTCAGTCTTCATCAAATCTAAGCATAAAAATGAAGTTTTCCCTTGGTCTTTGGGTCTTCATTTCTGAACACTCCCAAGTCATGTAAAATTTTGGTTAAATAAATTGGTTATATTTTTCTCTTGTTAACTTGTCTTTTGTTAAAGGAGTGTTGGCTGTGACCCTTATGATGGGCAAGAAAGGTATCACACTCTTCTTTCCACCTCTACAAATCCAAATATACAGCCTGTGACAGAAGATGCCCTACTCTTTTCTACAACTTATCCATAGGATATTAATAACATTTTCAGAACCTCAAACATACAAAAATAACCCTAACCTTATAGATTCCATATCAGAGGTAACTCCTTCAAATGTATGGTGATTTCACCCATGGGGCCACAGGAGTGTGACATACAAATAGAGGGGAAAAGCTACCAGACATACAGTCAGAATAAGCTACGGTCAGGCTAACGCTAGATGGTATGTCTAAAAAGGTTTCCAGGGCTCATTACCAAATCAGCATGTTCTTTTTTTTTTTTTTGGTGGATGGTTGGTACAGGGATCCGATCCGAACCCTTGACCTTGGTGTTAAGCATGTTCCGTCTTAATCACAGAATTCAGAAACAGAAACTACATAACTGGGGAGGAAAGGGGGAGGGAGAGGTTGAATTAGAAGTCAAAGTACGTCATGGAAACTAGAACCCCTCTTCCCCCAAACCAATCATACAATTTATTCTAATCTTCCCCCTCCTTTTTGTGTAACAGCTGGCCATAAAGAAATTCTCTGAAACTAGATCAGAAGATCCTCATTTCAGAAGTGGTCCTGCCCTCTCTACCCAGGAGAAAGGAATGCTACACAGACAGGCCCTTGCTTGATTCCCTACTCAGTCTATTACTGTTAGATCATTCACTTTTTGTCAAATCACATTTCTGTATAGCTCTTCAGTCTTCATCAAATCTAAGCATAAAAATGAAGTTTTCCCTTGGTCTTTGGGTCTTCATTTCTGAACACTCCCAAGTCATGTAAAATTTTGGTTAAATAAATTGGTTATATTTTTCTCTTGTTAACTTGTCTTTTGTTAAAGGAGTGTTGGCTGTGACCCTTATGATGGGCAAGAAAGGTATCACACTCTTCTTTCCACCTCTACAAATCCAAATATACAGCCTGTGACAGAAGATGCCCTACTCTTTTCTACAACTTATCCATAGGATATTAATAACATTTTCAGAACCTCAAACATACAAAAATAACCCTAACCTTATAGATTCCATATCAGAGGTAACTCCTTCAAATGTATGGTGATTTCACCCATGGGGCCACAGGAGTGTGACATACAAATAGAGGGGAAAAGCTACCAGACATACAGTCAGAATAAGCTACGGTCAGGCTAACGCTAGATGGTATGTCTAAAAAGGTTTCCAGGGCTCATTACCAAATCAGCATGTTCTTTTTTTTTTTTTTGGTGGATGGTTGGTACAGGGATCCGATCCGAACCCTTGACCTTGGTGTTAAGCATGTTCCGTCTTAATCACAGAATTCAGAAACAGAAACTACATAACTGGGGAGGAAAGGGGGAGGGAGAGGTTGAATTAGAAGTCAAAGACTTCGGGAAGGGGTGTAAGGATTAAATTCTCACTAGAGAATGGAGAGGGAGGATCTACAAAGACGTTTTAAAGAAATTTTAAATTTAATTTAAACGGAGGATAACGCAGAGTTTCAACCACGTCTTCCAACATTAACTTGGCACTCAGAATAAAGTATCTTCTTTAATGACTCACTGACTGACTCACTGAATGAAGGCACAATCAGAGCCTCCTGTGAAAAATGAGAACAATACTTTTGAGTACACTCCTTTACTGAGGCGTATTCAGGATTAAAAAAAAAAAAAAAAAAAAAAGCGCTTTCAACTTTATGCAACTTGCAGAAAAAGGGCTGCGGCCGCAAGAAGTATCGGGGACGGTCCTGGGCGGGCGGCGTCGGCAACACAGGACAGAGTAGGGCCGAGGACCCTCCTGACCCCGATGCCAGTGATTCCCTCCTCGTCCGGCTACCGAGCGCGATGCCCTTCGAAGGCCGACAGCCTCGCCTCCAACCACCGTCCTCACAAAAGTCGTCAACTGCCTATCACAAAATACGTGGCCTGGGACGTCCGCTGGATGCACCGTCCCTTACAAAATCAGCAAAAGTTATAAGCCAGTAAAGGGAGAAAGAAAGCAAGAGTCGGGCAGCGCCTGGAGCGGCTGAGGTGGAGCAGGAGCGAGGGCGAGGCAGCCGCGACCATGCTGGCTGCGGCGTGGAGGGAAGAGAGGGCAGGACCCGCGAGTGAGACGCTAAACGCTGCAGAACCGGCGGGGTACCAGCTTCCTGAGGCGAGAGCGCCCCGACCGCTGCGCCGCCCGAAACGCCCGGCCCGCAGGACGCCGCGTTACCCAGAGAGAAATTCGTATAACTTCGTATAATGTATGCTATACGAAGTTATTACGGGATATTCTTTTTTTTTTTTCTTTATAAATTGACAGCCCAATGAACATACTTGGACATATTTATATGTAGCTTAATTTTTCTTCCTATGCATTACTGTAAGTATTCTATAGTTTGATTTTTTTTTAAACATAGCTGCACAGTGTAGCACTTTTCAAAAGTACTGAGCGCTTCTCACGTTCATGTAACCCGATAGCATATGTTTTCTATTTTTGATCATGTATCTGCAGTACACATATTAACAATGAGGATAACTGAGGGTAACAGACCTCTTATTCCTCGGATTTTCCATGACCCGTTGTTTGAGAAACCTGGCTTTGTGTCTACGGTCAGTATTAGTAGTCCCCTTATTAGAGGTATCTAATTTCTTGCATCAGGTACTCTGAACCACTTAGATATGATACCCTCAGGGACAATTGGATGATTGTAGCAAGGCAGGCTATCATTAGTGCCTAAATCATACTGGAAAGGGAGATCAACAGATATAACAGGCTGAGAAGTTGGGTATGGGGATGGCTTTAATTTGAAAAGAACGAAAGGTGAAAATGAGAGTGGAAAGGGACGGAGAACCAAGATTTAGGGAGTGGGTGTAGAGGGTGACAGTACAGAAAGGTCCACACAGATGTATGAGAATATTTAAAATTCAAATACAGGTGAAGTCCTCATATATTATCTATATTCCTATATACCTAGTACCTACCATATATAAGGGGTAGTGTTTTGTTACTGCTCACGCAATAAATATTTTGAAAAATCCTTTTATCAGTTTAATCCTTAAGTTCTTTTTTAAAAAATGTCCTCTTTACCTCTGTATAAATGATTATGGTTTGTTTCTCAGACATCCTTAAAGCCTGGTGTACTGTGGCACTAGTATTCTCTACCAGCCAGCTGCCAAAAAATATAAAATAAAATAAAGTATTTAACATACCTGCCATAGCAACTTGATCTTTTATCCAAGGCCTAGCCAAAACAAAAACAAAAACGCTCCAAAACAAGACTGGGGAGTGGAGTTGGTGGGAGGCTACAGGTACACTGTGAATGTATCCTCATGCAGAAGGAGAACAAAGGTAATGGGTTTGCAGTGGAGAGAACCAAGGTCCAGTACTGGGAGAGTAAGAATAGAAAAGACAATTCAAATACGGGAGAATTAAAGAAGTGAATGGAAAGATGTGAAAGCTTTATGAAATGAATTTGACTTACCATGCCTTTCCTCTTTGTTTTTCCAGTCCTTTATTTATTATTTATTTATTGGTGGCTGGCCGGTAGGAGGATCCAAACCGATGACCTTGGTGTTACCAGCATCCTGCTCTCCCAAATGAGCTAACCAGCCAACCCCTGTTTTTCCAATCCTTTAGAGTTATGCTTCAGAGCTCCCCTCTTCCAGGAAGAAGCACCTACTTAACTCTCTTATATGAATACAAGTAAATATGTATTTCTTATTAATTCATTCATCCAGCAATATTTGCTTGTATGTGCCAGGCAATGTCAAGCAAAACAAATTTAAAAAGAGAGAGAGATGTAATACTAATGTAGAGAAATAGTTATATACTGTCAATGTCCTTTTCCCATGCAGGAAGACAATAAAAACAGATGAATCTGTGGTGGAGAGAGCTAAGGCCAATGCCTCCCTTTGGGAGGCCAGATTGGAAGTCACAGAACTCTCTAGGATTGAGTATCGTGATACTTCCCTGAGACTGGCAAAAAGTAACGAGGACTTAAAGAAACAGCAGTATAAAATGGAGAAAGACACAATGTGTATATTAAGCTACCTGAAGAAGCAAGATCAGGAGAAAGATAATATGGTAGGTAGGTAGAAAGCCTCCTTATCCTGTCTCTGTGTTTACACTGGCATGGTTATAAATTTCAAGGATTTTAATTCCTTGAAATCTCATCACATAGTTGACATTTCTGTTGACCTTAACTCTCCTTGAAGCAGGATGTTATTTCAGAATGGTTTTACTGTCATTGGCTCTTTATTATTTGCAGTTCTTGTCCAAAACAAATAGACATTGATGATTAGAAGGTATTATGATCCACTTTATTTTAAGGACAAGAGCATGGTATATTTTTTGATACTGATAAATATTTAGTTTTAATGACATGTAAAGCGATTCACTAATAATCTATGATCACATAACGAACCGAGCAAATTGAATCTCTTTTTTTTTTTTGGTCAGTGTATCTTAAATCTTATTATACCATATTGAAGTGTTGAGTGTAAAGCTATCATTTTAGATCTGGAAGAAAAAAGGAAGGCAACTAACATTTTGGAGCCACTATATTGTGGCACTATGCTGGGTGCTTTACCTCTGTTATCTCATTTAATCTTTTTTTTTTTTAAAGATGACCGGTAAGGGGATCTTAACCCTTAACTTGGTGTTGTCAGCACCACGCTCACCCAGTGAGCCAACCGGCCATCCCTATATGGGATCCGAACCCGCAGCCTTGGTGTTATCAGCACCACACTCTCCCTAGTGAGCCACGGGCCGGCCCCCTCATTTAATCTTTTTAATAACCCTGTGTACCTACAATATTGTTAGTCCCATTTTACAAATAAAGAAATTGACTCTCAGAAAGGACAGGTAACTTGCCCAAAGTCACACAACTAGTGGGTGGTAAAAGTGGATTTCAGGTGTAACTAAATTCTTCTCTTTCCCATCTGCCTCTAAAAGCCCCATGGAGACCCAAGGAAATTTCCACCATGTTGAGGATGGTGTGCTTCTTCTGCATGTATGTTTTTGTACTTTTGCTGCTTATGTATGCATCCATAAACAATACATACTATATAGTCTTGTTTTAAAATGTATATAAACAGTATATTATTCATATCTTTTGCAACTCGTTTTCTCACTCAACATTGTTTTTGTGATATATTCACAAAAATCACATGATGATTCAGTTAATTTATTTTCCTAAAATTTATAATAAGCATGTTCTATTTTTTTTTCATTCATTTAACTGCTGTAGTGGATTGAATTATGTCTCCCCGAAACTCACTGAAGCTTCTATTGTGTCCCCCAAATTTGATGTGCTAGAAACTTAGCCCCCACTGTGACTGTTAAGAGGGTGGGAAATCCTGTTATGGTATTTGAAAGGTGGAGTCTTGAAGAGGTGATTGGATTGTAGGGCCATGCCAGAGTGAATGGATTAAAAATGGTGTCAGGGGCATGGTTCTGAGGGCTTTAAAAGAAGAGAGAGGAGAGTCTCTCTTTGCTCTCTCTGCTTCCACGGTCTTGCGATGCAAGGCCCCTGGGTCACTGTCACCACCACCAGATGGACTTTGGACTTCAGAAACTGTAAGCAATAAATTTTGTTTTCTTTACAAATTACCCAGTTCTATGTATTTTGTTATAAGCAACAGAAACGGACTAATACAACTGCTTTATAATATTCTGTTAAATAAACCAAAATTTATTTATCCTCCTATTGGTCGGTTACAAACAGACCTTCCGTGAACCTTCTTGTGCATGTCTGCTTGTGCCCATGCGTGAGAGTTTATCTAGTGTAGACACCTAGAAGTGAAAGTACTACATTATGGATGTGCACAGCTTCTATGTCACAAGGGTTTAAATTGAGCTCCAAGGGGGTTACACCAATTTATACTGTCACGAGTGATGTATTAGAGTGAGTTCCTATTCACCCACACTTTTGTCAACACTTGTTACTACAGTACTGTATTATACTTAATAGTTTTTGCCAATCTTATGGGTATAAATTGTCTCATTGTTTTAATTTGTATTTTTCTGATTACTCGTCGCTTGAACATCTTTCATATGCTTCTTCACCCATTTTTTATTGTTCATGGGTTTGCTTCAGTACAATATACATATGAACTAATAATATTGGAGTGATGTAGAGTATGGTTCCCACAAATGGATGACGTGCAAATTCCTGAATCATTGCTTTTTTTTTCAATGCTACCTTCTCGTGGAAACCTTCCTCATCACCCTGTTTAAATGTTAAAACCATCCCCACTTAAGCACTCTCTAAACTCTTCCCCTGTTTTATTTTCTTTGAAACCGTATGCATGTTTCTTATGTATTTGTTTATTGTCCCTTGATTGGAATGAAACCTCACAAAAGAAAAGAATTTGGGGCCCCTTTTTTTTTGTTCAGTGCTGTATACCCACCACTTAGTTCAAGGTCTAACACCTAGCGTCATTAAAATTTTTTTGCATGCATGATTGAATGGCTTCTTAATGTACTGTTGCTTTGAAAAAGTTAATAGTAATCAAAACTAAGTTCAAGAGAATACTGAAAATAAATTAGAGAAATCAAATAACTGAATGTGTGGATTTTATATATTTCATTAAATTATAATTTTTTGTGCATTAATGTTATTTTTTCCCCCAGGCAACTTCAATTTTAAAAAATAATTCTTTGAATAGTAGGCATTATCAAAATTGTCCCCTATCAAGTATTATTCTAAAGCAAACCTCTGGGCCAGCCACCACAAATCATTTTTTAAATTCATTACATAGAAGTTTTGTGGCCTGCATTAGCTCATTGGTATTGGTCTGCGTTTATCAATATCACTTGTATTTCCTGATTCCCACCTATCTCCATATATCAAAGGCCAGCATGTGGCTGTATTAAATGTGCATAATTTCCTTACAATCATGGATTCCCATTAAAACAAAATAAACTGTCTTGGAGGAAGAAGCAAAGTAGATTATTATATCTGGTTACCTAGCTTGCTCAAAGTTTTGTTATTCATTTTGCTATGTCCTGGAAATGTGTTATTTTCTTAAACTAATTATAGTCTTATTTCATGTTAATTATAGAAATACTGTGTTAAAAATGAGTATTTTTTTTTTCCTTTTTGTCTTTTTTCGTGACCGGCAATGGATCGCAACCCTCAGTGTCGCGCCCATACCAGACCGGGACCGGCAACGGGATCACACCCCTCGGTGTTGTGCCCGCACCTCGCTCAGCCAGTGAGCGGCCGGTCTGTATGTGGGATCCGAACCCTCGGCGGGAGCGCCGCCATGCTCCCAAGCGGCGCACTGTAACAGTGCGCCACCAGGCCGGCCCAAAAATGAGTATTTTTGATAACTATTTTATCTTGAACAAAATTAGGTTTTCCTGAAGACTGGGTTTTTGTATTTAAGACTGTTGAATCAATCACAAAATAAAGTCATTAAATGTCACACCTATATGCTTTAGGACTGCCCAGTTCATTTGTTAGAATTCCTAGGTTTTCTTTAAGTTGGCCTGAGATATTGTTTACAACAATATTTCCCTTCTGTATCCTCTGATTCTGTAACCATGTCATTGAGTCTTTAGTTTAAAAAGCTACTCAAGTTTCCCATTAATACGAACCAGCATTCCTTGAAGAAATGATTGATTCCAGGACTGGGGTGGAGTGTAAAAGACAAACCTGTAATATCTTCTTGTGCCAGAAAATAAAAAATGTTAAAGGACATGGTATAGTTTGAAGGGGCTCCCATTGGCCAAATCCGGGACAATCAAAATAAATAATGATGGTAATAGACTATAACCCATTGAATAAAATGAGATTCCATGAGTTTGTACTACCAATAAATAAATACATACAATAATAAATAAAGGAGAAAGGAAAGCTTTTTCTCACAGTAGAATGTTAATTGGTAAATTTCCAAGGAGTGATAGAGTTAGAAAAACCACCATTTAGCATCTTAGTAATAACTGAATCAGTCAAGAATCACCAATGGATGCTAAAAACTAGTGGGTGAAAGTTTGATGAGGGGAAGGATAATTGCATGGTCTCAAAATATTTTCCTGTAAATTACTTAATAATTACAAAATAAAAAATAGTAACTTTTAGTTGGAGAAACCTGGCAGACATGGTTCTTAACTAATATATTAATTAAAATTAACATAAATCACCTCTTGATGTGATATACTGAAAAGGATTCATCACTTAGATAGTACATCCCTGCCCAAAATGCATAACCTGAATCTACTCATGAGACAAGCCCAACCCTGGCCAGTATTTTTTATTTATTTTTTAAACAGCATCCAGAATATTTTTATTGCAAAAATCAAGATACAGCCTTCTCAGAGCCCCAGGAGGAGCCCACCATTCAGGAACAAAGGGAGAGACATGTTGGGCATGTACATGACAGAAAATCCAGCTCCACAGAAACTCTGTGGGAGAGCAGCACACTCCAGCTTAAAAGTGGCTTTGGTACCCCAACCTAGAGGCTGGACCCAAGTCTCAGCGTATAGCCAGTTACCCACTTGGAACCCACTGCCACCAAGGCAGGCTCAGATTCTCCATCCATTCTATCACAGGGAGATCCATGCAGCATCCGTGGGGTAGGAAGAAAACCCTTAAGGAGTCCTGAGGTCACCTGGCTCTCTTAGGGGCCCACTCAAATTTCTGGGCTAGTCCCTGTAAACTAAGTACCACTCAGCTACCTAGTGAAAGTACGTGCTGGGCACGGTGGTGGCCAGTATTCTTTAAAAATGTGAATATAAAAGACAAAGACTGAGAAACTTCCAGATTAGAGGAGACTAAAACACATGACAACTAAATGCAGTGCATGACCAATTATTGTATCCTGGACCAGAAAAATAAAAGCTGCAGTAAAGAACATTATTGAGACACTTGGCAAAACTGAATATGGAGTATAGACTAAATAATAGCATATCGAGGTTAAATTTCCTGATTTGTCCTATGTCCTTTTTCTTAGGAAATAGATACTGAAGTATTTAGGGGTAAAGGTACATTATGTCAAACTTACTCACATGGTCCAGAAAAAAAAAGAGAGAGGGAAAGCAAATGTGGCAAAATTGGTGTATATGAGTAAAAAGTACATGGGAACTCTGTACTGTTCTTGAAACTTGTCTTTAAGAAAGATACCCAGAGAGAAATGCAAATGAAAACCACGAGATACCACTTCACACCCCTTAGAATGGCTACTATCAGAACAAAAACCAAAATAACAAGTGTCAGCAAGGATGTGGAGAAATTGGAATCTTGTACAGTGTTGGCGAAAATGTACAATGTTGTAGCCATTATGGAAAATAGTATGGAAGTGCCTGAAAAAATGAAAAATAGAACTGCCAATCTCATTTCTGGGTATATGAGGGTACTTTGAAAAGTCTGTGGAAAAATGGAATTAAAAGATAATATGAATCTTTCCATGAACTTTTTTTTGTTTTTGTTTTTGCTTTTCTTGTTTTCTTTTAATTGTTTTTTTGTTATCATTCCCATGAACTTTTTGAAGACCCTCTTATATCCAAAAGAATTCAGAGCAGGATCTTGAGGAGCTATTTGCACACCCGTGTTTATTACAGCATTATTCACAATAGTCAAGAGGTGGAAGCAACCCAAATGTCCATTGATGGAAAAATGGATAAAGAAAATGTGGTATATACTCCTATATGCAATGGAATATTATGCAGCCTTTAAAAAGGAAGTCCTGTTGTCATATCCTACATCATGAACCTCAAGGCATTGTGCTAAATGAACTAAACCAGTCACAAAAGGACAAATACTATATGATTCCACCTGCGAAGTATCTAAAGTCGTCAAAAATCATAGAAACAGAAAGTAGAAGTGGTTGCCAAGGGTTGGAGGGAGTGGGAAGGGGGAATTAGTATTTAACGGTTATGGTTTAAGTTTTGCAAGGTGAAAAATTTTAGAGATCTGTCACACAACAATATGAATATACATACACTTAAAAGTGGTTAAGATGGTAAAATTTAATGTTGCTGTGTGTGTGTGCGTGTGCATGTGTGTGTGTGCGTGTGGCTGTCCACAGGGATCAAACCCTGGACCTTGCTGTTATCAGCATCACGCTCTAAGAGCTAACTAGCCAGCCCCGTTACATTCTTTACCACAATAAAAAAAGTTACCCAGGTAATTCTGATGATAGCTAGGTTTTAGAAACTGGCAAGAGCAGGTTGAGGGTTTGAGGGAAGTTCCTGTCCCTTCTTCTCCACTTCTCACTTCACTCACTTCTTCTGCTCTACTGGTTTTACTATTATGTAAAAACTAGGGTACTTAATAAAGGTAGGACACAGCAATTTCTTAACCTTTCTGTCTCTGTATTTCCATCTTCCACAGATTGAAAAACTCAAACAGCAATTGAATGAAACAAAGGAAAAAGCCCAAGAGGAGAGGGAAAAATTGGTGAGTTTATCTATGTACACTAATACTTCACTGACTGTGTGGTCAGATTTCTGGTGAATGCAATTTAAGCCCAATGAGATTAAGTGAATAAGTTCTCTGAGCAGCTCAATGTCCTTAAAGCCCACATACTTGATTGTACAGAAGCTCAAAAATAACATTATAAAAATATGTTATTGTATAAAACTACTGATATGAGTATGCATACTGATCCTGAGTTTGTTATTGTTTTTAGGACTTCTCAGTGGACAGAGCTAGGAAATAATACGTTTTTAAAGATCAAAGTAGATCATGAGTCCATACTAATACTTTCAGTTCAGATGCAGGAATACAGGGTTTTTTTTTTTTTTCTAAAAAGATGACCGGTAAGGGGATCTTAACCCTTGACCTGGTGTTGTCAGCACCACGCTCAGCCAGTGAGCGAACCGGCCATCCCTATGTGGGATCCGAACCCGGGGCCTTGGTGTTATTAGCACCGCACTCTACCGAGTGAGCCACGGGCCGGCCCAGGAATACAGGGTTTTTACTTAACCTCATCTGTATATCCTTTATCCCTTGCCCAAAATCCTGATTCTTAGTGATACCAGTATAATTACCTAGTTTCTTAAACCTCAATACATCAATAATCTCAGTATACTATTACTACCATCTGCAATAAATTACTGGAAACAGTTTATGATTTTGGGGGGCATTTTTCCCACTTAAGATATATGCCAATAGGGATCTATGATCAAATTGCAAGATTTAAAAACCATTTGAAATTCCTTTCTGAGGTGATACCATCAACTTAGCAACACATTTTGCTTTTGATAATTTTAGTTTTGCATGTTAAATTATTTAATTATATAATTATAATTACATAAAATATTTACATGGTTCCAAAATCAAGTCTATAAAACAAGGTATAGGGCCAACCCGTGGCTCACTCGGGAGAGTGTGGTGCTGATAACACCAAGGCCCCGGGTTCGGATCCCATATAGGGATGGCCGGTTAGCTCACTGGTGAGCATGGTGCTGACAACACCAAGTCAAGGGTTAAGATCCCTTACCAGTCATCTTTTAAAAAATAAAAATAAAGGGCCGGCCTGTGGCTCACTCGGGAGAGTGCAGTGCTGATAACACCAAGGCCACGGGTTCGGATCCTATATAGGAATGGCTGGTTTGCTCACTAGCTGAGCGTGGTGTTGACAACACCAAGCCAAGGGTTGAGATCCCCTTACCAGTCATCCTTTAAAAAAAATAAAAATAAAAATAAAAATAAATAAAAAATATAAATAAATAAATAAATAAATAAAACAAGGTATATGCTGAGAAATCTAATTTCTGTCCATGTCTGTTGCACACTGTTTTCTCCCTCTCCCTGTAGGAAACCATTTTATTTATTTTATGGTTTATCCTTTCATTAAAAAATGTATATATGTAATAAATATAAACAAATATATCTTTTTGGATCTTCCCTTTCTTAGATGAAAGGTAGCATACAGTATACATAAACCTGCACTTTGCTTTTTTCACTTAGTATTTCTTAGAGATCTTCTCTCCATAGCAGTAGAGATATTCCTCATTCCTTTTCATAGCTGTAGTCCGCTATATCTTTTTGGATCTTCCCTTTCTTAGATGAAAGGTAGCATACAGTATACATAAACCTGCACCTTGCTTTTTTCACTTAGTATTTCTTAGAGATCTTCTCTCCATAGCAGTAGAGATATTCCTCATTCCTTTTCATAGCTGTAGTCCGCTGTGTGGAAGCATCATAGTTTATTCAAATGGTCCTTGTTTTAGTCAGTTTGGACTGCTATGACAGAATACCATAGACTGGGTGTCTTAAATAACAAACATTTCTCACAGTTATGGAGGCTAGAAGTCCAAGGTCAGGGTGCCAGCATAGCTGGGTTCTTGGTGAGGGCCTCACAGATAGCTGCCTTCTTGCTATATCCTCACAAAGAGAGAAAACTCTAGACTCTTCATCTCCTTATAAGGGCGCCAGTCCCATCATGGAGGCTCCACACTCTTGACCTCATCTAAACCACCTCTCAAAGGCCTTACCTCTAAATACCATCACATTGGGGATTAGGGCTCCAACATATGGATTTTGGGGAGACACAAACATTCATCCCATAGCAGTCCCATTTTGATGGACAGTTGTGTTTCCAGTCTTTTGCTATTACAGTTAGTGCTCCAGTAAAGAGCCTCATGCATATATCTTTTCACATTTTGACCACTATGTCTTTGGGATAGATTCCTAGAAGTGGCAGTTCCCCATACCAGACAGCTGCAAAAAAAAAAAAAAAGATCGCTAGAAGTGGTATTACTAGTCAAAAATAGGTAATTTTTCTAGATATTGCCAAATTTCCTTCTATGGATGTTGTGCCATTTTGTGACACCACTAATAATGTAACCTGTTTCCTCACAGCCTTACCAACAGAGTACAGGGGTACTTCAAAAGTTTGTAGAAAAATAGAATTAAAAGATAATATGAATCTTTCCATGAACTTTTTGAAGACCTTTCATGTATTGTCAAACTGGATTTTGCCAATGAGATAGGTGAGAAATGGGATATCAGTGTAATTTCAATTTGTATTTCTGTTCTTATGAGCTAGGTTGAACATTTTTTCATATGTTTGAAGGCCATTTGAATTTCTTTTAATATCTTTTGTTCATTTTTTTCGGTACTTTTGGCTTTTTTCTCCTCCACCTCTTTTTCTTCTTTTCCTTCCTTCTCTTCTTTCTCTTTTTCCCTTTCCTCCTCCTTCCTCTTTCTTCTATCTTCTTTTTTATTAGGGATATTTATCTTCCCTTTCTCTTTGCTTACTAATTTTAATTTAGGTCAGGGATGTTATTTGTCCTCCTCACAGATTAAAGATTTGTTTAGTCTTCTCCTAACCCTTTTTAATAATTTTTCTTCCTTTCTGTATGTACAAGATTAGCTTGTATAGAAATTTTTCTGGTGTTTTCAGCACCATGCTCTCCCAACAGAATTTTCTTTTTCTTATTCAAGGCAGTTGATATCTTTTTACAGAAATTAAAACTTGATGCAAAAATAAAAAGGGGCATTTCTTCATAGAAGATAGATAAATGGCTCAAGGCTTCAAATGGAACATGATTCTGTGGGACTTCTGTTCTTTTTCCTAACTCATTTATCTCTTTTTCGAATACAGGAACAAAAGTATACTGTGCAAATAAATGAGCTAGAAGGACGGTTCCATCAAAAAGCAAAAGAAATTGGCATGATTCAGACAGAACTGAAAACAGTAAAACAATTTCAGAAGAGAAAAATCCAAGTGGAGAGAGAATTAGATGATGTAAGTTTCTTTTTTTAAAAAGAGGTTAGCATTAACTACTTACTCCAGCAAAAGCCTCCGCATTTACTCCTGTGAGACGGCTAAAAACTCTCTTTAACATTTTAAAGATGATTTGAGAGAAAAAGGGGGAGACATAACAAGTTAGGACTGGATGCCAAAGGTATTGACTGTTAGACTTTTTTTTCTAAGCATTGATTTCTCTGGGAACTCACCAAATCTCAGCTGACACACCCTCCCATGTTTATTAGCAGAAACAAACTACCAGTTCTTGGAAAACATCGGGGGGAAAGTAGCAAAGTCCTAAAGGAAAATACGTTTAGGCTGATAAATGAAAATTTTAGAAAATTTTAGAAGGTTCTGTGGGTAGAGGTGAGTAGGGTGAAGAACTACTTTCAGAAATTTTCTCTGAGCTTACTATGCTCTTTCTTTTATTTTCCATTCCTTTGACTCAGAATATAGTTTTATTGCACTAGTAATAATGCAATAAATGGCACAGGTGGCCGAAATCAGCTTTGTGACTTTTTATACCTTGGTTTGCTCATTTATAAAGTGGGGACAATAAGAACTACTGTCTCATAGGGTTGTTGTAGGATTAAATGAACTAATAAATGTAAAGTGCTTAAAATATGAGGGGTCTTCAAAAAGTCCATGGAATGATTTCTATTATCTTTTTATTCAATTTTTCCATGAATTTTTTTTGAAGTACCCTCATAGTGCATGTTACATGGTGAGAAATATATAAACAGTGGTGTACAGCTGTCCATACACACAAAAGGTCCTGGGTTTTATAGCATTTTTCTGATTTCCGTGGTGTAAATGCTGTATTATAGCCAGGGCTACAGTCATCTGAAAGCTTGATTGGAGCTTGAGGATCTGCTTCCAAGGTGCCACACTCATGTGGCTGTCAAGATGCGGCTGGTGGTTAGTGGGAGGCCTCAGCTTCTTTCCACATGGGCCCCTCTGTAAACTGCTTGAGTATCAAAGAACTTGTGGGCATATTTAAAATCTACTATGCCACTGCAGTCCAGAGTATACATGGCTGTGGGACTGCAGTGGTGTGGTAGTTTTTAAATATGTCCACAAGTTCTTTGACACTCCTCCCCTTAAATGATGGAACCTAATTCCACTCCCTTAGAATGTGGGCCAAACTTAGGGACTTACTTCTAACTAATAGAATACAGTAGAATCTTGAGGGAGGTGATTAGAATATCATCAAAATATCACAGTTCTGGTGATGTTCTGATCACCTCCCTCAAGAGTCATCTTTAGTATCTCTCCACTGTAAACAGAATATTGTCCAGACGCCTTAGTATGAAAGTTAAGACCCTATACCTACCTAGGAACATTATCATCTCCCTTTACTATATTCCTCCCCCCAACACACACTCCCTTTAATCCTCTCAAGGTGGATATTCACCCATCCCTGAAGTCATTTCTGTCTTTTTTGCTTCCTTTGTTTCTTTTATGCGGTATGTATTCCCGATAGATCTCTGTTCATTAAAATTTTACTCATCTTCCAAAGGCTCAGCTCAAATGCATGTTCTCCATGAGGCCTTCCCCCAGAGTCCTGTATAAAAATCATAATTTTGTTTCTGTAGATTTCCATGGCATTTTGAATCTCCTTTATACCACTTAGCTTATTCTCTATTGATATTGTATTTATCATTTGTCTTATCTCCCCTATTAGAATGTAGATTCTTGGAGGCATGAACAGTGTCCTTTTTTTTCCCTCTTTTTTGATTTTTTTTTTTTTGGTGTTGTCCTTTGTATTCATTGAAATACAAAATACACAGTAATGCTCAATAATTCTTTGTTAAATACTGAGAGGGTCTTTTCATTAAAAACATAATTGAAGGTATGTCAAGTTTTTTAGAAGGAATATCAAGCTTCATTTTACATTAAAATCAGTATAGTTAATTTTTTGGGAACTGTCTAAATAGCCATCCTATGTGTAGGTATACATTCTGAAAAAAAAGGAAATAACTAGTGCATATTCTAATGAGCCATGGTGTGATTTTTCTTTTTTTTTTTTAAAGAACATTGTTGCCACCTAGTGGAGAAATCGATTCCAGACCTTTCCTTTGAAAGGCTGTTGGGGAAGACTGAAAATTCAAAGGCTGGGATTAGCTAGTTTGCTCAGTTGGTTAGAGTGCAGTGTTACAATACTAAGGTCAAGGGTTTGGACTTCCATACAGGCCAGCTATCGAAAAAAATAATAACAAAAAAATTCGAAATTCAAAGGCAAAAGATATTGGCTTATGGGGAAAAAATAAGGTGGTTCTGAGGAATCCTTAACGTGGAAGAATTGAGGCAAGTATGGGAGCCCATGAACTTAAAATTGGGAGGTATACATTAGGGAAGAGAATTAAATTATACTGTGTATATAGAATTCATTATACGAATTTAAAAAAGACTAATTGAAGGTATTCAAGGCATACAATTTAACAGAAAAATGATTTCTAGCAACTTGATTAACAGAAGAAGCATATGTTTGTAGGTTTCAGTTGTTATTTTTTTTACTAGTGTTTTAGTCTTTCTTCTTTTGACAAAGTGACAATAGTCATTTCAGCAAATTTAGCTTAGCTTATAAAAAAAGAAAATAAAAATACCGTATCCCCTAGAGGTAACCATTGTTAATATTTTCCCTCTGCTGTATAGATATGTATTTAAAAATATCTGTATACTGTTTTTATAAAAGTGAAGTATGATGTACAAAATGTTAACCTGATTTTTCACTTTATGTATTGTGAACATTTTTTAATGCCATTAAATATTTTTCTATAAGATCTTTTGAATAGAGGCATGGAATTCCATTGGGTAGATAACTTATTAATTGGTCCCTTGCTGTTTGATATTTGGAGTTTTTCTTTTTCACTATTATAAACATCTAAAAGATGAACATCTAAAAAATGAAATATTTTTTATATCTTTTATATATCTCATTAGCTTTTAGAATAACTTCTTGGAAGTAGAATTTATGAGTTAAAGAACATGAACTTTTTTTTTTTTAAAAGATGACCCTTGACCCTTAACCCTTGACTTGGTGTTGTCAGCACCACGCTCAGCCAGTGAGCGAACCGGCCATCCCTATGTGGGATCCGAACCCGGGGCCTTGGTGTTATCAGCACCGCACTCTCCCGAGTGAGCCACGGGCCAGCCCAAGAACATGAACTTTTAAAGTTGGTGATATGCACTGTCTAATTATCTTTTGAAAGATTTATTAATTTATAGATTTTTTGGGAGAGTGTAATGATGTATGAAACATCTATCTCCACATACGCTGGGATAGTAGATATTTCTATAAACTTGTATGTTGACATTAATTTTGAAAGTCTGACAATGTAAGAGGCCATTTTTTTTTTTTGTCCTTTTTGTCTCTTTTTTACTGACCGGTAACGGGATCGCAACCCTCGGTGTCACGCCCGTACCGGGGACCGGCAACGGGATCGCAACCCTCGGTGTTGCGCCCGCACCGCGCTCAGCCAGTGAGCGGGAACCGGTCTCCACATGGGATCCGAACCCTCGGGCACACTCTCCAGTGCGCCACCGGGCCGGCCCTAAGAGGCCATTTTTCCGCACCACGCTCAGCCAGTGAGCGGGAACCGGTCTCCACATGGGATCCGAACCCTCGGGCACACTCTCCAGTGCGCCACCGGGCCGGCCCTAAGAGGCCATTTTTAAAAATTGTATAAAAAATATTCAGGGAGGAAGAAGAACATATGAAAGAGATCATATAAAAGGGAGATTTAATACAGCAATAGCAGAGATTAAGTATAGGGGAGGACTATTAAATACGATAATAACTAACCTATGTATTAAATGGTTATTGTTCTAAGTACTTTGCTTATATTATTTGTTATTTAATCCTTACCGTACCCCTATGAGATAGGTACTATTATTATCCTCTTTTTATACATGGAGACCTGAGACTTAGAAAAGATAAGTGACTTGCCAAGAGTCAAACAGCTGGTGAGAGAGGCAGCACTTGACTTTGATCTGTCTGATGGAAAGCCCTTCTCCACTGCCTTTTTTGTGGCATGAATCTTAGGTTTAGTATGCCTATTTCAGTCTTATTCATTCTTTCCAGTAAAGATATAGACTACAGGATTATTGCTTTAAATTAGTTCAAACTTCTTTGTGTAGAAGAATTTTATATCCTTTTTATTCCATATACTTTTAGAGAACAGAAGTAGGATCCATCCACGGGAGTCATGGGGAGATGTTTTTAGAATTTTTTGAAGAATGAGAATGATGAAGGGGTACCCATGTGAATTAATGAGATTTGAATTAGTTATATTTCTATGTCAGGATATTTTTCTCATAGAAGGGATTTCTTTATTAGGTGGGATAATTGTATAGTCTGACTCCTCATGTCTCCTCCAATTCTATGGTTTATGATTCTGTGATTACACATGTTTGAAATGAACATTTTTGGAAAATATGAGTATGAGAACAGCTTGTCTGAATGCTTTGAGAACTGTTATTTATGAAAAGCTTTTTAAAAACTCAATACTGAACTTGTAAATCTACAGAAGAGGGAAATATGGTACCTCTGAGGCAGGGACACCAAGTTTTTCTGTGTTCAGGATTAAGAGTTAATGTATGACAGAAAATGTTTATTTAGAATTTTCTAGGAATATGCCTCAATCAGCCCATTTCCTATTGACCATTTTTTTGTTTTTTTGTTGTTTTCATTTTAGCTGAAGGAGAATTTGAGGAACACAGAGCGGAAACATCAGGAGACTCTTAGTAGGTTGGAAGGCAGGTTTTTTGAAGAAAAGGTACAGAGTATTAGGGTTAATTAAGAAATGTTTTCTCTACTGGAACAACATAAGTGTACACTTGTCCCTTGGTATCCATGGGGGATTAGTTCCAAGACCTCTCCTGGATATCAAAATTTGCAGATGCTCAAGTCCCTGATATAAAGTGGCATAGTATTTGCATATAACCTATGCACATCCTCTTGTATACTTCAAATCATCTCGATTACTTATAACTAATACAATGTAAATGCTATACAGATAGTTGTTATATTGTATTGTTTAGGGAGTAATGATAAGAAAAAACAGTCTGCACAATTTAGTACACATGCAATTTTTTTATTCCAAATATTTTTGTTTCATAGTTGGTTGAATCCACAGGTGTGGAACCCATGGATACATAGGGTTCACTGTATTTATCTGCATTCTGAGACATATCAACCTTCCATTTGGTATCTTATTAGAAGATTGTTATTGAATTATAGCAGAATAAAAATAGGGGGAAAGGGTCTGGCCAGTTAGTTCAATTGGTTAGAGTACAGTGTTAAAACACCAAGGTCAAGGGTTCAGGTCCCAAAACCGGCCAGCCACCAAAAAAACAAACAAACAAACAAACAAAAAAATCAGGGGGAAAAATACTTCTAGAAATCTCAGTATCTAGTTCTTTTTTCCCCCTCTTCTTCAGAGATTCTTGAAATCCTCAAGAGGGATTGTCATTTTATAACAAAAAAATCAGGGGGAAAAATACTTCTAGAAATCTCAGTATCTAGTTCTTTTTTCCCCCCCTTCTTCAGAGATTCTTGAAATCCTCAAGAGGGATTGTCATTTTAGGAAGGCTTCAGGACACGTCTCCTTTGTCTTGGTATTCCCCTGGTAGGACTAGTGCTACATGTACTCCATTATACGGGAGAGATGGGAATGCAGAAGCCACCCTGGTATGTGTGTGATGTTCCCTAGTCAGTCTGAGCTAACGATGTTAATAAAAAGGGCCTCAAAAATGTTCCCCAGCACATCACAAACTTCCAAGTTTCTTTGTGTTTCTGAAGTTAATTCTCCAAATTGTGTGAAGTACAATGGAACACTTCCACAGAATCTTTTCAAAGGCCCCATGGTTTTTCTTAAATTCTTATAATTGTTTCTTTAACTTTTCATTCTTAGGAAAGAATTGAACAGATTCTTTCAGAAATTGGTAGGGATGTAGGGAGATGAAAAATGACCAAGGATATATACACCAAAATGTTAACAATGGTGTGTTACAGTGTGGGATAAAAACTTTAATTGATATGTCTTACCAAAAAATACACTTTTCTCTAAAGTCTTACCTAAAAACTTACTTAAAACCTAAATGACGACAATTAAAGAAATTGACTCAGTATTCATCTTTCCACAAAAGAGCTTTGAAGGTACAATCGTGTGGGAGAGCCAAGACCTCCACGGCCTTGTGTCAAGAAATCTTCACAGAGTGACGGTGAATGACGGAGGGGGAGTTCTTAGAGTCATTACAGTAAGTCACCCTTTGTTCTTAGGTTGTTCGGTAACATACTTTAGCTTTTTTTTCTTTTTTAATACATAAAAGTGTTTTAAAATTTACTTTTAGGGCCGGCCCGATGGCGCACTCAGTAGAGTGCGGTGCTTGGGAGGGCAGCGGCGCTCCCGCCGAGGGTTCGGATCCCATATAGAGACTGGTCCACTCACTGGTTGAGCGTGGTGCGGGCGCGACACTGAGGGTTGCGATCCCGTTACTGGTCACGAAAAAAGACAAAAAAAAAAAAAAAGTGGCTCTAGATTTCCAGTTTGTGTATCAAATAACCTGGATGGAGTGAGGTAGGAGCAGCACCTGGTGCTTTCCTTCTGTAGCACTCCTGGCACCCTCAGGAATGGAAGCCCTCAGGAATGGGCTGCTCTCAGTTGCCTCTTCCCTCTACTCTTATTCTCTTTGCTACTTGGTGTAGAAAACAAAGGTTAGAAGTACTTGGTCAGTTTACAGAATACCTGAGTAACAGTGTGTAGTGGATTGAATTATGTCCCCCCAAAACTCATTGAATCTTGAATTGTGCCCCCCAAGTTTTATGTATTAGAAACTTAGCCCCCACTGTGGCTGTAAAGAGGGTGGGAAATCCTATTATGGTAATTGAAAGGTTGAGCCTTGAAAAGGTGATTGGATTGTAGGACCATGCCATAGAGAATGGATTAAAATGGTGATCAGGGGCCTGGTTCTGAGGGCTTTAAACGAAGAGAAGAGTCTCTCTCTCTCTCTTTCTCTCTCGCTCTGCTCCCACCATCTTGCAATGTGAGACCCCTGGGTCACTGTCACCACCATCAGATGGACTTTGGACTTCCCAGCCTCAGAAACTGGAAGCAATAAATGTCATTTTCTTTATAAATTACCTAGTTCCAAGTATTTTGTTATAAGCAACAAAAACAGACTAAAACACAGTGTTTATATAAGTAGGATTTTTAGTGACAGAATATGTGGCTGCTGGCCTTTTCCTCATGGTTGCAAGGTGGTTACTGCAGCTCAAGCCTTTTCTGTGTTTAAGGGAAGAAGGGAGGCTCCAGCTGTATCTGTCCCTTGTATCTAGAAGCCATAAAAGCTTTCCCAGAAGGTCTTAGCAGATTTCTTCTTGCATATCATTGGCTAGAACCATGTTATGAAGGATACTGGGAAAGTGATTATTTTGTTGTTCCAGCTACTAGTGGAAGCTGGGAAGGAAAAAGGAAGATGGGAATGAGTGTGAGGCTGGCCAACCACAACAATGTCTGCCTCATCATGTTAGTTATAAACTTCATGGGTATTTCTCCTAGGCTGGTTTGGAGCTCCAGTGCTGCTGCTGCATGTCAGTGGGTTTTCCAATAGGCCTGTTCATTCATCTCATACTTCAGCATGCTCTATCTGGTCATATAAAGGATTTCCCCAGGTCGATGGTGTCTGGTTTGGTTTGGTTTTCCCATTTCATTCTTTCTGTTCCTTGAATCACAAATCCCTGTCCCACCTACATATATAATATATACATTTTTAAGACTAGTCAAGTGCAATAGTGAGAAGTGGGGAAGAGTTCAAAGAGTTTGATCTGTAGCTGACTGTGAACAATCAATTGAGATAACTCACTATGTTTGGACCAGCCCCACCTTCATATTTTTTACTTGCTATTGCCTCTTCCTGCAATGCTCTTCTTCCAGCTCTTGCTCATTTTTATTAGTTAGAGCTCAACTGTCATTTCCTCAGAGAATTCCCAAACTCCAATCTAAAATGACCTCCCTGTTACTATCCTATTATTCAGTTTATTTCATTTATAGCATTTATCACAGTCTATTAATTCTCTTATTTGTTTACTTGTATAACAATAGATTGCCTGCATATGAATCCCTGCTCTGCCACTTACTAGCTACAGGACTTTGTGCAAGTCATTAACTTCTCTTTTCCTTGGTTTCCTCAGTCCTTGCTTTTGGGGTTAATAAAAGTACCTATTTCATAGGGTTGTTGTGAGAAGTAAATAATACAGGTAATAAAGCTCTTAGAACCCTGCATGGCACAGAGTAAATGCTCAACACATTGTAATTATTGTTTATTGTTGGGATCTCACCCTAGAATATAAGCTTTGTGAGATCAGAGACCTTGTCTGTTTTGTTCACCACGGAATCTCTGGTATCTAAAACAACCTGGAACACTGTTAGTCCTCAATAGGAATTTGTTGAAATGAATAACTGAATGACTGTCATCACATTGCATTTAGCAGAAATTTCTCTCAGCTTTGCTTTCAAATATGGATGTGGATTTTTTCCCCTATATATATGTCATTTTGCTTCTTTAATGGGGAAAGTAGGAGGTAACCTAAGGTTCCTGTGTCACACTATTCACTTTACTGGCTCCTCCATCAGTTCTTGGACCTCATCAGGTCATGTGGACAGGAGTATTTTATTTGACATTCTGAAATACTTTTGGATGTGTAAAATTTGTTGGAAATACAACTCGATATTTAAAAAACTTTTTTTTTTTAGCACCGACTAGAACAAGAGGCTGAGAAGAAGGTAATAATGCTGGCAGAGAGAGCCCACCATGAAGCTGTTATGTAAGAGACTGCTGCTTCCTTTTTCTTTCTGATAGCCTCTCTTACCTCTGCTGGTATATTTTCTTTTACCTCTTTGATGGTCTGTTTTCTTCTTGCTTTCTTGTCTTCTGCCTCCTCTCACGGCTTGCTTTCTTCAAATTTTCTGGTCTATTCTCCTTGACTGTTTCTTTCTCCTTTGTGTTCCCCCTGACCCCTTTTCCCTTAACCCTTTTTCCCCCTCCCTCCACCCTTTCTGTAGCAGCACTGTTTGGTGAAAAGAACCTGGGCTTTGAAGTTATTTAGACTTTGGTTCTCATCATGTATACTAACTAATCATAGGAAGATTTCTTCACTTTCTTGAAATTAAATTTCTTCAACTAAAATGGGGTTAATGATAGCAACCTTGTGGAGTTGTCATGAGGTGTATTAGTGGAAGTAACACTGTGTTGTGTTAACAAATGAACTCCTGAGTTCCACTGGTTTATTTCCTGCTCATATAACAATCTATGTGGGTCTGGCAGCTCTCTTCCAGTGGTGATTCAGTAACCTGGGCTACTTCCATCTTGTATCTCTGCTATCTTGGAGTTCTTCTCATCCAGTCATGTGGACAGGAGAGAGTATGAGAAATTTGTACCTGCTCTTAACTGCCTTGGACTGGAAGTAACACATTACTCTACTTTCTTATTCATTGAGAATTTAGTCACAAGATCCCCACCTAACTGTTGAATACCCACCATAAGCTAATAAATGGTGATCATTATTATTAATGCTGGGGGAAAAACAATCCTTGTTCTAGTTTGGTAATATCTAAAACAGGCCTGTGTTTTGGGATCTTGTATCTATCTATTTCAGGCAATTGAACAATGCTGGAAGAAGTGTTTTTAAAGAGAATTTTTATCTCCAGAAAGCTCTTGCATACCACCTGAAAGAAGCTGATGCTCTACAAAAAAACTCCCAGAAGTTGAAAGAGAGTCAGACTTTCCTTTTACAGCAAAAGGTTTACACTCTCATTTAGACTTTGTTTCCTATCTTTTTTTTTTTTTAAAGGATTGGGTTGCTGAATACCAAGAATTGAGTACAATAATGATACATAAGGACAGTGGGACCATTTTCTTCTGTCTGGATGATGCACTCTCCTTCTTTGAAGAGATTAATTACTGAATGTTTATAAGAAGCTTTAGATTGACTTTATAAAGAATATATCAGAAACATAAATATTATTCTTATCCTCTACTGTCTTAGAGTTCTCATTTTGCTTTGCTTATAATTCATCCCTGAATCACTTAGGGATAGGTGTAGCTGTGAGTAACAGACCAGACATCAATGGTGTCACCACATAATGGTTTATTCTTTCATCTAAAGGAAGTCTGGAGGGAAGCACTCCAGAGCAGGGTGGTAGTGCCACAAAGTCAACAGACACTTGGCCTCCTTAACTTTGCTCTGCAACATGTGGCTTACATCCTCATAGTTACCTCAGGGCCCAAGGTGGCTGCTAGAGTTCAAACCATTACTCCAAACAGTAGGAAGAAAGACAAGAAGGAAAAAAGTGTACCTCTCCCTTTAGAGGTCTTCCTGGAAGTCCTACACACATTTCCATTCACATCTCATTGACCAGAATATTGCTATGCTGACCTGCAAGGGAGGCTGGGAGTTTTCAGCTGGGCATACTGACTTCCTGAATAAAACTGGGTTTTTATTACTAATGAGGAAAATGGATTTGGGGATAGGCAGCTAGGAGACTGCCAGTTTCCAGTACATAGTTTTAAATGTTTTAGTTTTATTTATTTTGATAATATAAAATATTTAACTGTTCAGAATTTTAGAGGAAGTTTTTTATTTAGAAAAAGTAGGGGATGCTTTATAAGTCCAGATTAGGACCCTACGATGTTTGTTACTTTCTATATCCAGAATATCAAAATATTGCCTTCTTAGCCTGTCAACAAACTCAAATCTCATGAAGTAAATGAAATTGGTGAGGAATATTAAGTTCTGGAATGATTTAAAAAAAAAAAAGATCTCTCACCTCTCTCATCCTTCTGTTTCTAGGAGATCAATGACCTATTGGTTAAAGAAAAGATTATGCAATTTATTCAGCAGCGATCACAAATTCAGACTCTTCAGAAGAAGGTGGTAAGTTTGGAGACTGCTCTGACTTGTATGACCAGAGAGTTTGAGACTGAAGTTTTAAAACTGCAGCAACAGGCAATGATAGAGAACCAAGCAGGTCAGGTAGAAATTAACAAGCTGCAGCAACTTCTTCAGATGAAGGACAGGGAAATGAATCGGGTGAAGAAGCTGGCCAAGAACATACTGGATGAGAGAACAGAAGTGGAAAGATTCCTTTTAGACGCTCTACACCAAGTGAAGCAACAGATCCTATTTAGCAGGAAGCATTATAAGAAGATTGCACAAGCTGCTTTCAATTTAAAAATGAGATCAGCATGTGAAGGAAGAACAGAATATCCCCAAATCAGAACATTTGATGGCAGAGAGCACAGCACCAATAATGTGAATCGGGATCTTATGGAGGCTGAGAAATGGTACTAATAATACTTTAAAATATTGTTTTTTTGTGCTGCTATTTTTGTGCTCTTAGAAAAATAACTGAAAAGTTCAGTTTGATAATATCCAAGTATTGAATAGATTTCTAAGATTGAATAGTTACTTGAGGACAGGAACTGACTTACTCATCTTTGTAACCCCCTATGCTCAGCATAGTGTGTGGGGCTTAATATGTATTCTTGGTAGTTGCCCCTCTTTTTCTTGTGACAGAGACTTGTTAAAGAGACTAGATTGTTTGCCCCATAGAAATCATTGTAATAGGGGTCGGCCTGTGGCTCACTCGGGAGAGTGTCGTGCTGATAACACCAAGGCCACGGGTTCGGATCCCATATAGGGATGGCCAGTTTGCTCACTGGGTGAGTGTGGTGCTGACAACACCAAGTCAAGGGTTAAGATCCCCTTACCGGTCATCTTTTTTTTTTAAAAAAAAAAAAGAAAGAAAAAAATCCTTGTAATATCTTTTAACTTGTTTCTTTATCTTGTTTCCTGTAAATTGGAAATTAGTTATAAAGGCTTGATTAGATTTAGGCTAAACATTTGTGACATAGGCATACTTTCACAAATATTTTGTATTGTTCCCTTTATCCTGAGATGAAATTTATAAGTAATAATATCTAGCTAACTAGATATTAATTTTTTAAAATCTGAAAAGAAAAAAAATCAATATAACAATTCTTTGTTGTGCAGAACTGTCTCATGGGTTGGAGGACATTCAGTAGTGCCCCCTCATTATGGTATTAACCAAAAGTCCTCCAAAATTGTCGAGATCTACTACCACTACAATAAAGATAGCAGAATGTTTGAGACTGCATACAGTGATTAATTTTGTTTCCTATTAGCATGTTTGTCTCAGAGCGCTTTTCCTCCTTTAAACCATGGATTAAACTATAGTACATTTTGATTATTCTGAAAAAAATTATGTTTTATATTCCAATGTAATTAGATTCTTCAAAAGTTCTAACTCAAGAAACGTAAAAGGACTCCCTACTGCTATGTACTTAACTTATTAAGAGTACTTTCAAATGTATTTTCTGCTTTCAGTTATTTTTTAAGGAACTAATTTGTAGATATATAGCTTTTGAATAACATAGCTGTTGGGAAGGTTAGAAATGCTCAGTGGCCCCTGAAAGTCTATGAAAGTTATGATTCTTCTTCTAAAATTCCCATACTATATAATCTTTTACCTTCACAGCATGTTCAGAAGTCTGTAATACCACTTCTGTTACCAAGAGATTTGCTATAATTTCCTTTCTCTTATTTAATAAATCAAGTAATTTGAGTCTTTACATAAAGCAGTTTCCTTTAAATGTTTTGTCTATGCTATATGGTGTTATAAATTTTTTTTTTTTTTTAAAGATGACCGGTGAGGGGATCTTAACCCTTGGCTTGGTGTTGTCAGCACCACACTCAGCCAGTGAGCTAACCGGCCATCCCTATATAGGATCCGAACCCGTGGCCTTGGTGTTATCAGCACTGCACTCTCCTGAGTGAGCCATGGGCCGGCCCTATGGTGTTATAAATTTTAAATGGAAGTTAAAGAAAATGATTCTCCATCCTGTTATTGCAGAAATTAGACTCTTTCTATTCTTTCTTCTGTGTGACATTTTTGTTGCTTGGCAACTTAACATCTGAGCCTCAGTGTCCTATTGCCTTTACCATCAGGGCAGAAATGGTAGTTAAAATATTATGTAATCTGTTTATGTGGCAGATTGGGGAAGGATAATTTGAAGTATGTGGTAATTATAAGGCAAAACCTAAACTGTTAAACAAAACTAACCCATTTGACCTAAATATAAAAATATTTCTTACATTATACAACATCAATACCCTACATGTTAGCTTTTGTAAAAAGCAAGTAGACCGAATCCTCTGGGAAAGTTATAGTATGCCCAAAGACCTGCCTCGAAAGCTTAGCTGCAGCCTTATTTGAAGGTAAGAAAATAGACTGGATAAGTTACACGTTATTTTCTAAATTTACTTTTTGTCACTCTTTTCATAATAAACTATTTAGTACAAAAGGAAACATTAAAATAAAAACACCTACCAATAATCTCACCAAACAACTGCTTTTTTCCATCTTCTCTTTGTCTTTGTGCATATCTGGATACATAATGTTACATTACAATTTTCTATTTTGCTTATTTGCTTAATGTTTGAGCACAAATAATTTTCATGTTATAGTTTTTGTCATTTTCGTCTTAGTGATTATATAACATTTTGGATTGGCTAGCATATTGATGTCCTTTTCAACTTTATGATTTTGTAATGGCCGTAGTTTAGTTTGCTTTGTAGTTATTATATAATATTGGTATGGTATGGAATTTTTCTTATGTTTACATATTTTATATTTTTTAGAAAGAAGGGAAACTTACTGTGGCCATATCTTTTCCTTTTCACTGTTTTTCTTTGAAATTCTTCAGGACAAGTATTCAAGGAAATGTGGATATTGGAGATTTGACCTGGGAGCAGAAGGAGAAAGTCTTGAGATTGCTCTTTGCAAAAATGAATGGTTTTGTTCCTAGGTAACTCTCTGTTTCTGCAGTGAAATACCAAGTTGTTATGAAATCTAGAAACCTCTTAGGAACAATGAACTTACTCTTACTTAAAATTAAAGGAATGGGAAAGGACCATAAAATATAAAAAGGTCCTACTGCTTAGCTAATGCAATTACCAGAGATGAAGAATGGGAAATGAATGAATGAGCACGAAAATAAAAGATGAATTGGAACTAAAGGGGGGAGAAAAAGATTAATCTTAGCTGCTTAAGGTAATGCTTATTAAGAAGTTACAACAGTGCTCAGCTGAATGAGTAGCAACTTAAGGGAAGCATAACAACTGTTAAGATTTTATTGGTTTGGTTTTCAAAAATAAATAAATGATTTTTAAGCTGATTGATTATAATCAAGGGAATCTCTAATGCAAGAAAGGAAACTAGAAAGGAAAATAAGGCTGGCCAGTTAGCTCAATTGGTTAGAGCACGTTGTTGTAACACCAAGGTCAAGGGTTTGGATCACTATACTAGCCAGCTGCCAAAAAAAAAAAAAAGAGTATTTACCTTGTATCGGGCAGCTGCCAAAAAACAAAAAAAGGAAAACAAATCCAGATATTACAAATAATTTCTTTTGATGATTAGTTTCACTTTCTTTCTCCACTAGGTTTCATCAGTGACTATAACCCTGGTATATAAAATAAACCAAGCACTTACTTATTGCTTGTTACATGCTTAGCATTGTGTTAGGTACTATCAGGGATTCAAAAGAATGAAGAAATACTGCCTTGGAACTCAAAGAACTTACAATCTAGTTGCTCAAACAGAACCAAACATAACAAGGGAAGAAATTAGGTGGCACAATAAAGTTCAGACAATATGTCAATGGCTAAAGTAGTCAGAGAAGACATTCCTGAAAGAGTATTACTCTGTGGGGTGCCCTACAAGGGGAAGAGGGCACATAAGACAAGGGGCTGAATAGACAGCATAAGCAAAAGCCCAGGTGTAGGAATGGGTATGGGACATTTAGGGAACATTGAGGAAAAATTGCCTGGCTGAGAAAATTTGGTAATGCTAGAGAATAATTAGAAATAAGGCTTAATCTATAGATTAAATTATGATGAACCTTAAAAACCATGCAGAAAAGCCTGAACTATTGTAGATTCTAGAGTAGTGTGTATCCTACTTTTCTGCTCTGACTTGAAGGAATACAAATAGGACTAAGCCATACTCTCATTCTCTCTAACTGGAAGGTTTCACAGGTCAAGGTCAGTGTTTTTAGATCTGACATTAACCAGACAGAGACATTCACGATGGATCAGACGGACAAAATTAGAGTTGGGGAACAGCAGTTGTGAAGAGGTTTAGGCAAGAGTGGTAGTAGTCAGAAAAAAAGAGAAATAGAGACATTTAGGAAAGAGAAACAGGACTTGGTGATAAAGGACAAAAGGAATAAAGAAAAGAAAGAGTAAATATTTAAGTTTTGTAGCTTAAGAAATCAAGGAATAGTGGTATGCCAGATAAATGAAAATCTGGAAAGCCAGTTTGAGGGAAATGTTATAATTTTGTTTGAAATGTTTAAATTTTATTTAATCCATCTATTAATTTAACATATACATATTGAGTGCCTACAATTTATTGAAGATATAGTGTTGAACAAATAAAGACATAACGTGTAATCTCAGAAAGTTTATGGTCTACATGGGGAGAAAAATGTTATTTAGATCATTACATAAATAAATATAAAAGCACAACTACAACATAGGTTCAGAGGAATTATATAGTGGTATGAAAGCCTAGATTAGGGGAGTCTGAACTGATTAAAGAGGTCAGGAAAGTCTGAGGAAGTAAAATCCTCAGCTGATTTCTAAAAGGTGAAGTAGAACAAAAGAGGGCGGGGAACATTCCAGGTAGAAGAAATAGTGGTATTTTCAGTGTTGAACTGGAGATAATGGCAGTATATTGAAGTGAAAAAATCCTTTAAGGCATTTGTAAATAGTGACTGGAATACAGGTGAAAATTTAGGGAGGGAGATTTGAGCATGTTTAGTGAAAACTGGTAATTAAGTCTAGGAGAGTGGATGAAGGTAGAAGAGTAGAGAACTGAGGCTAGAACACTTATGAATAAGCACAATTAGGTAACAAGAGAATAAAGAATATAGGCAAAAGGGAAGAGTTTAAAGAACTGTAGGCTAAATGACTTTGAAATGGCTTTTGTGTCACTGATAGGCTTCCAAAGAGTTTGATTAAAAATGTAGAGGTAGACTTCAGACTACAGGTACTGAATGTGTCTCCTTGTGAGTTGACTTTTTTGTATCCTGGGAAATACAACCAGAGTTCCAGGCCTCCGGTTCCAATTCCATACTATGTTGTTTTCAACACTGGAGAAACAAAGGCATTTGAGTGAGATTGTTCATACCAACACAGTGAACTTGTCTAAGCCTATTGAAATCATGTCTAAGCCTGTAGGAATCTCATGCCAGAAATGGATAAAGGAAAAATAAGATAGGAACAGAATGCTGAAATGTTGAGATGAAGATGAGATTATATAAGAAAGCTCAAACCAGACTGGGGACGATTTAGATGATGAAAGGTCTGCCAAGCAAGTGGAGTAATTAGGAAGTTGGTTAGAGTTCACAGTGGATTGTGTGTGACTGTGAATCCAACAGTACAGTATTTTTCTTTGTGACTGAACTAAGTCAGAGCGGTATAACCAATAAGCTGTACTCTTCAGTGCATCAGCAACCACTCTGGCTATAACTCAGGCAATGTTAGTATCTAAAATACATTTTTTTCATGCGTAACTTAATATAGCCAGATTTTGAATGAGTTTATGCAGCTTTCATATGCACCTAATTGAGAACAAGTTTTAGGAGTGTGAGGTATGTGTCTTTATCTGTTGACAAATCAACCTGCTACACAGTACTTTTTATAACTCAATTATTAAGCTTACTTTCAATTTAGAAAACTGAATTAGTGGTATGTTTATTTCTTGTTCTTAAACCCATACCTTCCAAAGTATAAAAAGAAATTTTTTTACTGGGACTATCTCCTTTGGGTAACTTTCCCATGTTTCTGAGGTTCTTTTTGTGGGAAGGGAGCTTTTCTGGACATGTTTTTGGTTTGGCCTTGCCCTTCACTGTTAATAGCTGTTGTGTGAGTATCATCATCATGATCATCTCCATAAATATTTCCATTTCTTGGGCCGGCCTGTGGCTCACTCGGTAGAGTGCGGTGCTGATAACACCAAGGCCACAGGTTCGGTTTAAAAAAAAAAAAAAAAAAAATTTCCATTTCTTGAATTCAACATGTCTCAACCTCAATATATTAAATATTGCCTAACATCATCCTATATCGATGTACATAAAAGCTCGTTTTGAAATTAAGAAGCCCATTCAACCGAAGCATTTCACTTAGTACTTTAAAAGTGTAGTTGAAATATGAGGGACAAGGAAACACTGCCTTATTATATTTTTCGACTTTTACTCACCACAGGAAATACAGTCAGAGTTCTAGGCCTCCAGTTCCAGACTATGTTGTTTCTGACAGTGGAGAAACAAAGGAATTTGGGTAAGATCTCTTGCTAAAGTGATAAATGTGAGCCTGAATCACAGTGGTTATTATGGGCATCTTAAACGTGCTAAGAGTTGAGTGAGAGTAATATGACAAGTCTGTTGTTCTGAACCAGGTTCCGTGTTTATGTAGTTGTTGACAGCTCTGTCATTCTGTCCTTATTGCAGGGATGAAAGTAAGCTTCAAGATCAAACCTTCATCACCCAGCAAGTTCCAGTTTCAGACTCTTCTGGTGAAATGGTACTACCCAATATCCCAAAAGGATCACAAGAGCCTGACACAGTAAGGAGTTTGCAATCTAATCATACAATACACATGTCTGTTACCCTTCCCCATGCAGTTTCTTTGCTAAATCAGTTCTTTACTATCCAGGAGCTCTCAGGATCAGTGGAATGAGTGATAAATAGCACTAGTATTAGATCATAGACATTTTTATAACAATATCACACTAATGGCATATTATACTTCATGCAAATGCCTATTTGTGCCTCTTTTAGTATGGAAAATCTATAGACTGTCTTATTTATTTATTTATTTTGGTAGCTGGTTGGTATGGGGATCTGAACCCTTGACCTTGATGTTATACCACCATGCTCTAACCAACTGAGCTAACCAGCCAGCCTTAGATTGCCTTTTGAAAGTAGCCTAGCCAAACTGTATACTATCTTTTATGTAAGAGTAAACATAATGACCTGGTAACTCTTGGCTTTGGATATAGGTGGGAAGTCCAAGTCATTACAACCTAAGGGACAAAGGTATTATAACGAAGTATGGCACCATTTTTAAAAAGCCATGATTTTTTTAGAGCTTTTTATTTGTAATTTGTTATTCATAATCAATTAGCACAATGTAGGAGACATTTCACATGAGACCATATCAGAGAAAAAAAAAACTGAAATTTTTAGCTGCTACCAGCATGAACATAACTGCATAACTGTACAGATTTTTTTTCCATCTTAGAACCAAGAAACTCTTCTGAGCTGCAAATAGCTGGCCAAATGAGTTGATTCCAATTAGAGTAACACAATTCTGCTATTCAGTATTTTTTAAAAAATTATTTCCTTTAAACGTAAGGAAAATGTTTAGGAGTCTCTGTGATTATATTTAATTCCACTTGGAATTTAGACAATAATGACCTTTTATTCAACCCAGCCTATAGTTTTTGGATTGCATTAAATATCACTACCAGTTGCCAAATGATAAGAGATAAATCAAGGGACACTGTATGCTCAAATTGTAAATTTCTATTGCCTCACCTTTTGGAAGGCAAACCTCCCTTCCCCCCAAAAAAGGCCCATTAGGGTCATAAGTATTAAAATTCCAGTCACCTTAAGTGATTGAAGATTCTGACATTCTATCCAGCAGGTGGCAGTAATAAGCCTAAAGTCCACAGAGTGCACAACATTTTCAATTTTCCACCATCCTTAATTCACTGAATAACCCCCAGGGAGTAGGTTATCACTATTGAAGTGACTAATAAAGAAACAGAAAAATAAATGATCTGTGCTACCTGTGGAGGATCAGAGATTATGCTGTCAGAGCCAGCAGCCTTCTGCTAGTTCACTGGGTTGAAAACTGTATCAGAAAGACATGCTTCAGTTGGGATGGTAGAGCAAAAAGACCGAATCCATTTTTGTTCAGCACATCAGTTTCTGTTCTCATTTAAAGTTCAGATATATCAAAGAAACAAAAAGCGTTAAGGCAGTTGAGTTAATGGTAGCAGAAGACTGTTGATGCATTTCTTTTTTACTACTTTATGTCATGACAAGCTTTGAAATTTCTTAGGCCAATCAATTACTGTACACAGAGAGTTCTTTCATTAAAAAGTATCACAAATGAGAAATTCAGGCAAGAGGAAAGAACAACATATAAAATACAGCAACTGATATCAGATTAGATTTGCTTAAGGCAAGAGTCTTACTTTCATAGTTTGAATACTCCTTGATTTCTAGGCCTGAAATAACTTTTGAAACAATTTTCTGAGAAAACTACTTGCATCTGAATTAACGGCAGAAGCGTTAATTAATGATTGCTGAAGCAAACCCTGAAACTTAATACTTGACACACAGAGCAAAAAGTTGATTTATCCATTGCATACTGATATATTCTTGAGAAGTGATTTTAAGAAGCAGGAACAGTGACAATGATAGAATTAAATAGTGGTCATGAGTCACTAGGACAACAAAATGGCATTGAGCAGAAAAAAAAAGCAGTTGTCACAACGTTGGGGTAAATAAAAATGGATTATACATTGTGTAGTCTGGGATAAAAGAAAGGCTCAGGAAAACTTAGCAGAGAGGTCTCCCCCACTGCCATTTATATAGGGCTGTGTTTGAGGATCAACCAGAGGGTGAATTATTTCTATCCCTATTTCCTCACCCAAGAGTTCTTCTTCCAATTATTGGAAGATCTTCTTTATATACACTGACCTTCCCCTGCTTTCAAGTCATCAGAAAAGGGGAGAATTTTTAAAAAACAGGTATAAGCTCTCATCCTAATAAGCATTTCACAGTTACAAGTTACCTCAAAAAGAGAAATATGAACAAGTGAAAATCTGGTTTCAGTGTTATACTGTGATTCTCCCTATAGCAACTTTGCAGGTGCCAAGCTTCCTGAGAAAGATTTTAGTTACAAGGCATTCCAATCCCAGATCATCTGATCTGAGCAAAATTGGCAAATGAAGTTGGTCAAGAATAAAGGGAGATTACTCAGGATGGACTGAATCTTAAATAAACTTGTTTCTAACGGCCCATGGTAGGCATGACTACAGAAGGTGAGGAAAGAGTAGCATCTTCTTCTTTCCACTGAGAAGTGATGGTCTTTAGCTGTGTGTAGAATTGGATGCCCTAATGAGAACAAAGAAAAAAAAAAAGTTAGCATATATTTCTGGGGGTTTCATGATTCATCTTTTAATTAACTTTTGAAGGAGGTGCTGTGAAATGCTACTGACCTTCCTATTTGAGGAATAGGTGCAACTAAAATCCAATATATTGCTCATGAGATAATATGTCTAAAACATTTAGCATTATACCTGGCACATAGTAAATCATTAAATCTTAGCCATCATTATTATGCTGAAACTAGTACTTCTAAGCCAAGAGCCTCAGGGCCGGCCCGTGGCTCACTCGGTAGAGTGCGGTGCTGATAACACCAAGGCCGCGGGTTCGGATCCTATATAGGGATGGCCGGTTTGCTCACTGGCTGAGCGTGGTGCTGACAACACCAAGCCAAGGGTTGGGATCCCCTTACCGGTCATCTTTAAAAAAAAAAAAAAATAAGCCAAGAGCCTCTAAATGTAAAAATTGAACAACATAAGCTGTTAAACTTGCAGGTCATTCTGTTATTAGAGCTGAACTTCATGTGCTCTGAAGTCATTAGACTTGGCTCAAATCCTGCCTCTGCCCCTTATTGACTATGTGGTTTAACCCTGAGCCTTATCTGTGTGACAGTAACACCCCTTCCCCGCAGCAATGTTGAAGAGAAAATGAAATGACATACAAGAATATCCTAGCAAAGTAACTGCTGTTCAATACTTGTTAGTTTTTCTCTCCTTTCCATGAAGAAGAAAGAGGAATAAAGGAGTGAAATATACATTGGGCCATTTCTGATCATTGTCAATGATAATGAGCTCTATACTGAAGTGGCAAACCTAAAATATCTCACAAATCTAAAGCAAAATGTCTGATATTATACAAATTTACTTCCAAATTACCTATAACATGTGAGCCAAAAAAATCAGCACATTTAAGGCTTTATATATTTACAAAATTTATTTTATGAGTAGTCTTGAGCAAGAGGATATATTGTGCATATCTAACACTTATAAAAGTACTAGTGAACAAGAAACATGTTTTTAGAAAAAATACTACCTTGATTGAAATGATCTTCTGGAGCATTATTTGACAAAATCTGGGCCATTTTAATATACTGAAAATCAGCTTTAGAGATTATTATACAAAATAAAGATACAACTAACTTTTACATTTTATTATGTAAGAATGATACTTTCATGTGTTCCTTTCAGAATGCAAAGTAGCAATTTAAAAACCTAAGAATACCTCAAACTTGTGTGAGGTCTTTTCCTCCAAGAAGCCTCATTTACTGGGGTAACTTATAGTAATTAAACTGTAGAAAACTATTTTAAACAATCGTTTTACTCTTTTTCCCTTAAAAAAATGCTTGTTACCAGTATCAAACTTGTCAATTTTGCAAAAGCTGTGACTAACGTACAAAATGGATAATCATCTCCAAATAACCAAAGTGTTGACTTCTTAATTAGTTGGCCACACTGTCATATGTATTCTGCAATCCCATTGTTAACTGTTTTATTAACCTATAAAAGGGGAGACCTGTATAGAAATTAATGAAGGATCCAAAATGGCTATGTTTCTGTGGGACTACAGAGAACTTCCACTACCCTATTTGTTCAACAAATATTTGGACAGCCTGCTCTGTGCCACGTACTGCAGATAAGTAAATAGTAATCATAATGTAATGAGGGCTCCTTAACATGGCTTAAAGAGCCCTACGTGGGCCGGCCTGTGGCTCACTTGGGAGAGTGTGGTGCTGATAACACCAAGGCCATGGGTTCAGATCCCTATATAGGGATGGCTGGTTAGCTCACTTGGGAGAGCGTGGTGCTGACAACACCAAGTCAAGGGTTAAGATCCCCTTACTGGTCATCTTTAAAAAAAAAAAAAAAATCTGCCTCTTCTCTAACCTCATCTCTTCCCATTTTCCACCTCATTCACTCACTGTGCTCCAAGCCCAGTTCTGCTGTTTCAACTTGCCATGCCTACTCCTGCCTTAGCACATATGCACTGGCTGATGGATGTGGTAATAGTGATAATTCAGTCCTCATGCCCTTATGAAGTATATAGGTTCTATTGTTATTCTCTTTTTACAGATGAAGAAACTGGAGGCACACAGAGGGTATCCCCCAAGGTCATAGAGCTGATAACTGGCCGAGCTGGAATTGAACCCAGGCAATTTGGTTCCAGATCTGCTTTATTTTTCTTGTTCAGTGCTGTATTCATAATGCCTAGAATAGGGTTTGGTGCATAGAAGGTGCTCAATAAAATTTTTTGCACATGAATAACTATGTAGGAGAAATATGTGCAGTGGGAGCACATGGGGCATACCACCCAGCATTGAGGAAGGGGGTGGTGGTGGTCAGAGGTAACTTTCTGGAGGAGTCCATTCTTTAAACTGGGACATGACCACTAAGTAGGAATTAGATGAAAGGGGAGAGATGGGGAATAGGGTCACAGGCAGAGGAAATGTTATATACAAAGACCTGGACTTTCCTGTGCTCTTTTCCCAAAACTTTGTTGTCTTGAGTTATTCAGGAGGAAGCAGGTGTGGCAAAATTTTGTTAACTTTTAAATCTTTTCTAGGGGACCTTCTGAGAAGAACTGATGAACAACATATGACCCCACAGAAGCTAATGGCAGGCCCTTCCTTGCAGAATCCTTGCTCATGAATATGCTCAAGAAAGTTTCTTAAAGGAAAAAAAAATTTTTTAACTCAAAAATTACCTGTTTGCCATAGAAATTGGTGTCTCCCCTGAAGGAAGATCGAGAGCCAGTGAATGAGAACATTGGCAAAGGCACTGGAATGGGGACATTCACTCCCACCTAAAGCAGAACAAAAGGACTCAAACAAAGGAACTCTCCATTTAGAAGCACACCTGAGACCAATTTTAAACACCCACCACCTTCCACCCCATGAACTTTTATTCCGGAGGAAGAAATGGGCATTGTGGGGGGTGAGAGGGGCAATCTTTAAACAAGTTGCATGACTGCTCACTACTGTCTCCACTTAGGAAATAGTAAATGGCTATAAGACTTTCCTAAAAATTCTTTCCACAAACCTGTCCGATATCCACTAAGTGGGAATATTTCCGAGCAGTGGCTCCATTGGTAGTGAAGATGGCAGTTCCATTTCCATATGGGTTGTCATTTACAATCTTGATGGCTTCATCCAATGTTTCTGTCTCTAGAACCACAAGAACTGGACCAAAAATCTCCTCTTTGTAACAGGTCATATTTGGCTGCCAGGAATGATACATCCAGAACAGAAGTCAGTTTTTTTGGATTCTGACTATTTTATGTTTATTTGATACTTTCACTTACTCTACCCATCATTTACATAGGCAGCTTTCATTTTAAATCACCTACAAAAAAAGGTCCTTACTGTGTTCCATCTTCCAAGCTAGCAATCATATAAACAACTTGAAATTCTTGTTAACTATACCATACTCCTTTCCTTTAAGCACTGTATTTTTTGTTCATTGCCCATTACTAGCTTCCTTTTTAATACCTGTACAATTTGTTTCTTCCAATTATGTTACGAAAAAATTACATGAAAACTTATTTTTATAAATCAAATATATTAAATACACCAGGAGAGTTTTTCTGTTTATAGAAACCCTGTGCTGTTTTTTGCAACATGAACAATATATTCTCATTGCCTTTGCCTCCCGTTTATATTCTGATATCAGGTCACACTTCAAAACATCCTTCACCACTGCAGCTAGTTAGCTGTATTTGCTAAGTGGATTTCTCCTCTATGGTCTGTGATAAGAGATTCAATAATTTCTGCTGCACTTACATTCAACTCTTGATTATTCATGATTACAGTGGGGATATATGAATTTCAAAAAACACCTCCTAACCTCAATTTAGTCATAAACGGTAGCTGAGAGAGAAGTTTTAATAAATAAAAATTGACAGTTCGATTCTTTTTTCTTTTGTCACTTTCCGATGAAGATACAGCTAATTTTTTTTTTCTTTTAAAAGATGCCTGGTAAGGGGATCTTAACCCTTGACTTGGTGGTGTCAGCACCACGCTCTCCCAGGTGAGCCAACTGGCCATCCCTATATAGGGATCCGAACCTGTGGCCTTGGTGTTATCAGCACTACACTCTCCCAAGTGAGCCATGGGCCAACCCAGATGCAGCTAAATTTTGGGCACACTCTGTATTCAGTAAATATTGGGTGGTTGATCTATTGATTGAGACACTGCAGTAGCTATAAGCTAGGCAGCAAGAGGGACAGTGAATAGAAAATTAACACTAAACAAGTAATCAATATAATGTTAAGACGGGCTGGCAAACTACAGCCTATGGGCCAAATGTGGCTTGTACAGCCCACAAGCTAAGAATAGTTTCTACATTTTTAAATGGTTAAAAAAAGAAAAAAAAAATTTCATGCAGAGCTTCCAGATGACCAGGTGGAAGCTCCTGGAGGGTGGCACACCCAGGGAGGGCATGGAAGCTCTGTGCCCCTTCCCACATATCTCACCCTATGTATCTCTTCATCAGTATCCTTTGTAATACTCTTTGTAACAAACTGTTAAATGTAAATATGCACTGTCATGAAAGTAAGCCCACACTTATTTAATGGTCAGTCTTGGGAAGAAAAAACTGAAGATGGAATTCTGCATAATAATAATTATCTAGAGTCATTGAGAAAACTGAAAACTTTCTTACAAGCAGATGTTCAAAAATATCAGGCATACATGAGCAATTTGGAGTTTTATTCAGCCATTCTGGACCTGAAACTGAACAGTCTCAAGGAAATTGGTAGAGTAGCACCAGAATGTAAAGCAATAAGAATACTCAACTACTGAATATTGTTGGTAATCCGAAGTACTCAGTTGCAGACACTGAGAATAAATCATGAAAAAAATAAATTGCATTAGACTTAATAAATTAAGGAGTTGGCAGCTGAACAACAGCAACTGTGGCATGAGGATATAAAATATGCCAGAGGCAAAGAAGCAATACGGCATACAATTTCCAGAGTGGAAACTCATCAAAACTCATCACCGAAGCTGACCTTTGTTAAAGGTCTGCCCCAGTGAATTCAGTGTGGGGCTTGCCTGTTAGCACAGTGTTATAACATCAAGGTCAAGGGTTCGGATTCCTGTGCTGGCTAGCCATCCCCCCTAAAAAACCAAAACCTCAGTGGGTAAAGTAAATTGGCTAAACAGATAAAAAAATGAATTTCATGATGTGAAATTATGGAATGTTTGCCAACCACTGGTACTGTATAGTGGAAAGAGCTCTGGTTCGGAGTCAGGAGGGGAGACTTATTCAGACACCAGACAAAACAACTGAGCAATCCTGGCAAGAGATGAGGTCCTAGTCATTAAATGTCTTCATTTATAATTTAGAGGCATGAGATTCCATAGCCTTCAGCTCTCATATTTGTGAAATAATAAAGAGTTCACCTTGGGGGAGGGCCGGCCTGTGGCTCACTTGGAAGAGTGTGGTGCTGATCACACCAAGACCACGGGTTCAGATCCCTATATAGGGACGGCCGGTTAGCTCACTTAGGAGAGCGTGGTGCTGACAACACCAAGCTAAGGGTTAAGATCTCCTTACTAGTCATCTTTAAAAAAAAAAAATAAAGAGTTCACCTTGACATTAGAGATGATGGTTGGTCCAACAAAGTTGCCATTTTCATAGCCTTTGACTTTAATTTTTCGTCCATCAAGAAGTATGGAAGCTCCCTCCTTTGTTCCACTATCAATCAGATTACATACTCGCTCTTTGGCCTGGGGGGTGATCAGAGGGCCAAGATCAGCTCCAGGTTGGTCTCCTGTAAAACGACACGGAATTACATAAGGTTGCTATTAACATAAATTATGACTGCTAACAAGAGATGAATCCAAATGACAAGTACAGTCTAAAGAGAGGCAATGGTAATAGACATGATTGCTCCCACAGGCCAAGATCAATGCTAAATCCAGAAGCTTAGTGCCACAGATGCAAAATCTAAAGGTAGGCAGGTGACTTATTACCTGCATTGACTCTCAAGTTTTTGGCACGTTCCACCAGCTCTGGAAGCCACTTCTTAGCTTCTCCCACAAGGATTGCTGTTGAAAGAGCCATGCAGCGCTGACCAGCAGCTCCAAATGCTGCCCCAACCAGCTGGTTCAGGGTATTTTCCTTATTGGCATCTGGCATGACTACCCCATGGTTCTTGGCTCCCTAAAGAAATACAGAAAGTACATGAGTCTTCCTTGGCCAAATAAAATTAAGCTAAGAAATTAAAGAAAGACCTTTCAAATGAGCATTTAAGGAAAAAAACTAGAGAATTCACCCTTTGTTGCTTTGAGGACAGAGAGGTTTATTATTTTTAATATTGCTGAAGTCTTGGCAACATTGAGTAAGTCTCCATGTTACTTTTCTTCACTCTCCAGCTGATAAGCTGATATGAATTTATTTAGATCAAAACTATTACCAACCCCCCCCCAAAAAAAAAACCCAACGAAGTTCCAATCATGTTGAAACTGACAGGTTAAACACTGGATCCAGAAACCAAGGAGATCTCCCTTTTCTTTCCTAAGTTAGAATTTGTTTTCTGGGCCGGCCCGGTGGCTCACTCGGGAGAGTGCGGTGCTGATAACACCAAGGCCCCAGGTTCGGATCCCATATAGGGATGGCCGGTTCGCTCACTGGATGAGCGTGGTGCTGACAACACCAAGTCAAGGGTTATGATCCCCTTACCGGTCATCTTTTTTAAAAAAAGAATTTGTTTTCTGCTGGGGTTTCAGTTATATGAATAGCAGTGTAAACTGAGAGCTGACAGTAATAATATACAAGTAACCAGCTAAAAGGCCAAATAGGATATATTTTTCTGATACGTAATTTCTAGAAAGAGATTCCCCAGACTGGCTTGCTTCATATACTTTTCTATGTAGGACGATGCTATGGATTGAATGTCCCCCTAAAGCTCACTGAGACTTAATCCCCACTGTGACAGTGTTAAAAGGGTGGAAAATCCTATTATGGTAATTGAAAGGTGGGGCCTTGAAGAGGTGATTAGATTGTGAGGACCATGTCCAGTGAATGGATTAGTCCATTGATAGTTTAATGGTGGTCACGGGCATGGTTCTGATGGCTTTAAAAAAACTGGTGAGAAGCTCCAGCTCTCTTCTGCCATTTTCACCATTTGATACTCTGTGGTGCCATAGAGTCACCACCAAGAACAAGGCCCTCACCAGATACGTTCTCTGGACCTTGGACTTCCCAGATTCTGAAATTATAAGAAATAAATTCTATTTCTTTGTACATTACCCAGTTTCAGGTATTCAGTTATAAGCAACAGAAATGGACGAATACAGATGACATGTGGTCACTTTCATGTTTCCAGATATAGTTATAGTTGAGTATAAGGATAGATACTATGTCTGCTACTTAATTTTATCCCATTAAACATAATGTTGAACACAGAGTACACTCAATAATTATGCTATAAACTGGGAGGGGCTTAAATCAAATTGGCCAAAACACATTCAGCCATAAAAAAATAAGTGGGCATATCATGAACAGTTTCCAAGCCTTGCACAGGTGGTTATCATTTCTGCAACATCAGCTGTCAAAAGAAGGGAGAGAAAGATGCAATACAACTTTATATTTACTATCAAAGAGTTGCTACATATTTGCCAAGTACTAGTAAGAAAACAGCAAAATCATGCAACAAAGTAAACCATACTCACATATATCAGGATATGGGCTCTTTCCTGTGCTTTATAAATAGCCTGGACTCTTAGGGAAAATATCTTTGACCATAGTATTTAGAGTACACCTTATAATAAGGAAGGATAAAGGTCTAGAAGCATGGTGTAAAGGAAGAAATAGGGCCAGAACCAGAATCTGGCTATAACTGCTGAAGCCCAAAGAATTTGAACATTCTTAGGGAGGAATGTGCCCTTTGTGATCAAGGTTAGTATATGATAAAAGGTGATTAACATGACTTAGAATAAAATTCCTTGCAAGGTTCATGGTTAAAGAAAAGACTTTCAGGATCAAATAGGAATTAAGAAACACTGGTATTACAGTGGAATGAGTAGCCTCTCTGCTGAAGGGCTGTTCCAGGTAATTTTAATACATATAGCAAAGTTTGGAGGAGAAAGGAATAAGAAATCACCATATTTGCTTGAACCCTCTTGCCATGTCTTGACCCTCTCTCGAAGATGTACTCTCCTGCCTTGTTGGATCCCACAAAGCTGATTGCTTTGATGTCCGGATGATCGCAAATAAAGTTTACAGCTTCAAGAAGAAAATAAATTATCACCACAAAGGAACACATGGCCATACGTTCTCAACATGGCAAATTTCCCTTTTCCCCACTGCTATGAAATAGAAGTTTAAGTTTTCCTACATTTGTTTTTCTACACTGGCTTCTCACTGTGACGTTCTCTCCTTACTTATTTCTCTTCTTTAAATTTCAAATTCTATTTAGCCTCTTCCTTTCCATTATTTTTCTCATTTGCTATTTCAGAATTTCCACTTCTAACTCTGAAGGCTACAACTTCTATTTTCCTCCAAAAGACCAGCCTTTCAATATTCCACCTTTTGATTTTTGTCTTTTAAGAGTGTGATTTTTCCTCAACTGTCCCTATACACTGGGACTCTCAAATACTATTGTACCCTCATGTGAGGGGTAATAGGTATGGCATAGTATTTAAAAGCAAAAACCAGAGTCAGCCTTCCTGGGTCCATGATCCTGGCTTTTACAGTTTCAAGCAGCTGACTTTGGGAAAATTTCTTATTTTCATTATGCCTCAATTTTCTCATCTGTAAAATGGAAAAAATAATAGTACCTACCTTAAAGTGTAGTTCTATAGACTAAATGCAAAAATATATGAAAAGCACTAGGCACAGTGCCTGAAACACAGAAGGACTCTTAGTATTAGCTATTATTACATGAATTACAAGGCCTTAAGTCTCTCTGAGGTCTACAAATTCTCTGAGTTAAATATCCTCATGAATTCTCTTAACATTGAAGTAAAATCTTTTTCTTTACTCTTATCTATGTCCTGCCCTAATCCACATTTCTAATGTCCCAACATACACCATCAGGCAAGTAACACTGCTACTTCCCAGTTAGTTACCTTTGCACACAGAGATGGGAAAACAGTCAACAAACATTACCTTCAAACATGGAGATTACTATTAGTAAATTCCTTCCTCCCTAAGTTCTATATCCCAAAGCACTGAATCACCACTCAACACCTTGATTTTTTGGTAGCCAGATTAAGTAGTCACATACGGAAGGGCAGTCACCTTCATGTTGTCCATGGATGATGTTCAATGTTCCATCAGGGGCACCAGAGTCCTGGAGCAACTTAGCAAGAAGCATAGCTGCTCCAGGGACTCGCTCTGATGGTTTCAGTAGGAAGGTATTTCCACACACCATGGCCATGGGAAACATCCAAAGGGGGATCATCGCAGGAAAATTGAACGGAGCAATGCCTGCACACACACCCAGAGGTAGACGGTAGGAATAAAGGTCCATGTCTTTGGTGATAGATGGCATAGTCTCTCCCAGCATGAGGGATGTCACACTGCAGGCATGCTCAACCACCTCTGGAATACAGAAGAAGAAGTCAGGCCACCAGCTCTCCACACTGTGCACTACTTAGCTTTGTCATGCTCTGTGCAGCCCTGAGGACACGGAGTGGCTCAGGCCAGTGACAAAGAGGGGAAACACTGACTTGCCCTTCCATGTGAAGGGATTGTGCAAAATGAGATTCTCTGAATGGGAAAAAAACACAATAAAATGCATATAACTACTGGAAGATTGTTTGAGTAAGATAATGAATGAAGTAAATCAGTCTCATAGATACCTGAGAAGTATTGCCATTTTTCAAAGTATTAAAAACGATACTATGGGATAGCAAAATATACATAAAGGAAGAAGCAACCTCCCGTTCTGGGATCTTTGCCTCCCATCTTCCTTTGCTCCCTCCCAAAAGTCCCATGAGGTGCTCCCAGCTTACGAAGGCCTCGAAATACATCTCCTTCGGCATCAGCTAGGGTCTTCCCTTGTTCCAATGTGATTAACCTGGCAATTTCTTTCTAGAGAGAAAACACACAAATAGAAACAACTGCAAGGATGTTCCTTCCTTTAATTCTCAGGTAGCCAAGAAGAGCAAAACTGAGGGAGAAGCAGTAAAGGAAGAGGGCCATGATCAATGTCTCTCTATACTGCAGAGTTAGGGAGTGACAAGCACCCTTAGGCAACTGGAAAATTATGCTATTCAGATTTCTTACCAAGTTTTCTTTAATAAGTTGTTGATAGCGGAGCATGACCTGCTGACGGCTTAAAACTGAAGTGTCTGCCCATGCAGGAAAAGCACGTTTGCAGGAAGCAACGGCTACATCCATTTCAGTCTTTGTGGCCTGAGGGACCCGACTAATTACCTCATTGGTGGCCTGAAGGGAAAAAGAAGCACATTATACTTTCCCCCTGCCTCACCTTCTCTGTTTTCTATCTAGTCATAGAGCCAGCAGTATGTGCTTTATGATAGACACCCAGGTCTCCACTTTCCCACTATGTTCCCAGAATTCTAGACTTGTCAGTTTAAAACTCAAAGTAGCTTCGCTTACTGGGTTGTGGATGTCGATCCATTTGTCACTTTTGGATTCAACAAACTTTCCATCAATGAAGAGTTTTACAGTTGGCTGGAAAATAAAGAAAACCCACAAAGCTTCATTTTAGTTAATTGCCTTGCTTCCTCCTTTCCCTTTCACAAAGAGGAAAGAATTCAGGTTGATAACTGAATCTTCTGGCCTCTAGAAATGTTACCATTAGAAAAAAGATAGATAGTATCCTTGTCTATAGTGTATATTAATGTGTGGCAGAGCCTCTCAATACTGTGATCTCTGAGAATGGGAAATTTCCTGCTATGCACACAGTGGAACTTCATGAGTAAACACATGTCGCTGTGAAGCTTATACTAAAAAAGCAACAACTCTGTCTTAACAAATCTTAGCTATTTTGACTCACTGACCCATTACCATTCTGTCACATTACCATGAACATGTATCACCTTTATGAGTGAAAGATTTTTAAAATGTTTCTATCTATGTACATTTTTTTCTGAGAAGTAGTTTGCTTTCACTAAGTTTTCAAAGGGGTCTGTGAACCAAAAAAGGTGAAGGACTACTGTGTTACAGTGTATGCATACTTCGGTATAGAAATGATTTTGAGTAGTCATACTTATTTATTAGATTTTAGGAACTGAAAATGGTTAACAGAGATGGTTTTTAAAAACAACTCTAAAAAGGTTGTTAAGACAACTCTCAGATCCCCATACCAGCCAGCTGCCAAAAAAAAAAAAAAAAAAAAAAGGGAGAGAGAGAGAAGACAACTCTCAAAAAAAGAGGAGAAAGGGGGACTTTGGGTCAAATGGCAAAACAGACAGTCCCCAGTGTCACTCTCTCCCACAAATCAACCAATTTACAACTATAAAAAAGCAACAACAGCCAAGCTGGAGCCACTAGAGCTCAGGGAAGGAGGAGGAGAGACCTACGGAGTGCATGAAGGCGGGAGAAGCCACGATGAGAGAAAGGAAAAACCAAAACCGCTCCAACCATTTTGTGCTTCGGCCACTTTAAGGCTGGAGCCGCTGAGCACACGGAGCAGGAGCCAGCAAAAGCCTCAGCTGTGCCCTTCGGATGAAGTTGCTTGGAGGCAGCAGGGGAGAAGAGGGTCTTGGTGGCCCCAGGCCAGCAAGAGCACTAATAGGGTTCCCATGGACCCACACAGGAGTGAGGAACCACAACAACTGAAAAAAAGGAGCCGCTCAGAGGCCGGTGAGTCATCACAAGGGACCGGCACATGGCCCATCCCATGGGAAGTGTTTGGAGCACAGGCAGTGGGAGAGACGGGCCCATGGGGGGAACACTGGGGCACAGCAAGGACAGCTGATCTGTCCCCCAGTCAGAGAAGGACCACTCAGAGGAGACTGGTCAGTAATATAGAATTGCATGGGGTGCAGTTTGATGAAAAGACTCAGGCCCAGATCAGAGTGTCTACACAATCCAGGTGCACTGGGTCTTTGGAGAGCCAGAAGTACCTATGAAGTCGACCACAAAACCTGAGCTGCACAAAAAGCCTTCCCTAAGGAATCATCAGCAAAGCAGCAATTTAGCTAAACCACACAGCTCAAGTACTGGTCCCCACAGGAAGTTCTCCCATTTTAGAAGAAAGCAAAGGACAAAAAATTAGTTCTGGCCCAGGCACACTGCCAGTGCCTTGGGCCCGCCTGAGGTCCTGAGGTCTGGAGTCAGGGACCAGGACCCCCCCTCCCACCAGGCACACCACCAGTGCCAAGGAGCATGCCCAAAATATCAGCTCCATGTTGGTGGTCCACCACAGCCACCACAATAACTACGGCTGCCGCAAAAGCAGTTGATGCCACAACCATCATGCAGATGGTCTGCCAGCCACTGGAGTGCATTGACACAAAGAGAGTCACCAGCAGAGACCAAAGAAAAGAGGATGTCTCTCTCCACAAAGCCCATTGCAGAGTGACAGAAGAAGCATCTGCTCTATGATAACATTGGGGGACCTGAACACACCTCTCAGCACTGGACAGATCATCTAGGCAACAAATCAACAGAATAACCATTACTCTTTCAGAAGGAGAGAAGAAATCTAGGGTATTTAGACGGGGGAGGAAAGGGGATGGGGATGGAACGAAATTGGACAAGGGGCATAGAGAATAAGTATGATTTGTAACAATATATATGCTAGTAATATTGATTTGATCAACATATGTCAACGTTGAATCCAAAAAATATTTATAATCAATTATGATTCAATAAAAAATTTTTTTAAAAAAGAGGAGAAAGAAAGAAAGAAAATCCAGATAGAAAACTTCACATATGATCTGATCACAAATATATGAAGAGGATAAATGGGAATACCCAAATGCTATACTGGAGGAATCCTTAGAAGTCAACCTTTAGTGCCAAATAAACTCACCACTGAAGAAGAAGAGAAGGAGGATGGTGGACACCAGCTGGAATTCACCTTGGAAGAAACCTGCGAGGCAAAAGAATGATTATTTTAATTAATGAGAGCAGAAGTGAATGGCTACTATATGTTTAACATTATAATAGCTACTTTGGGTATATGAAAAAGGACTTGGTGTTTACTCTCAAGGGCCGTATAGTCTTTAAAGAGAAAAGACACATGAGAACATGAGACACAGCAAACTATGAAAGAACAATAAACCACAATGATCATGTCCTTAATTTCCAGGTCAGTCCTGATTAAATTTTTTTTGTGTGTGTCATTATATCATATTTTCCTAATTTTTTGGCCTGGAAAACCTAGTCGCCATAAATTTAACAATATAAAAATACTTAGTATGGTACCTAACACAATAGGTGTTGAATTTAGGATAGTATACAATCAATGTAAATGTAAATATACTATAAATAATATAGTATATAATCAATGTAAATATACATCGAATAGTATATCAAACATAAAATATCCCCATACAAATAGGCGAAAACAAATATTCATAGCAGCTTTATTTGTAATAGCCCAAAACTTGGAAACAACCCCAAAGCCCACCATCAAATGGATGGATAAGGAAACTAATGTGATATATCCATACATTGGAATACTACTCAGCAATAAAAAGGAATAAACTATTTATACATGCAACATGGATAATTATAATTATGGCGTGTGAAAGAAGTCATATAAAAAGAGTACACACTGTATGTTTCCAGTTACATAAAACTAGAAAATGTGAACGCATCTGTAGTATCAGAAAGCAGATCAGTTGTTACCTGGGGATGATGGGAAAGGTGGTGAGGAGGGTAAGAGGGAAACTTTTTGGGGTGATGGATATGATATGTTCATTATTTTGACTGTGATATTTTCACAGGTGTACACAAATGTTAGAGTTTATCAAATCGTACACTTTAAATATGTCCAGTTTATTTTATGTTAGTTTTATTTCAATAAAGCTGCTTTTAAAATGCCACAGGTACCTTATAAAGAAAATGTGTTGTAGGTAATATTTGATAGGGTAAAATCAGCAAATGAGGGAGGGAGCATCAATTACAATAAGGTAACTCTCAAAGCCTAACTCTCTAAAGAAAAGGTTTTATATACATTATGAAAATTGATTTTTTTTTTTTCCTTTTGGTCTTTTTTCGTGTCCGGCAACAGATCGCAACCCTCAGTGTCACGCCCGTAGTGGACCGGGACCGGCAACGGGATCGCAACCCTCGGTGTTGCTCCCACACCTGGCTCAGCCAGTGAGCGGGAACCGGTCTGTATGTGGGATCCGAACCCTCGGCGGGAGCGCCGCCGCACTTCCCAAGCGGCGCACTGTAGCAGTGCGCCACCGGGCCGGCCCTTTCTTGGGTGATTTTATCAACTCCCTTGCCTTAATTATATAGGTCCTGATGATGCCCAAATCTGCAGTCCTTAACGAGAATCTTCCTATTCAGGTAATACCCACAAAACTATCTACCCACATCTCTACTTGGATGTTACTTAGGCACATATTGAGAAAGCGGAACTCCATGTCTTCCTCCTACCAATCTGCTTTGCTTCCTATAGCCCACTCTCCAGTGAATGGGGCCACTGTTTACCTAGTTGCCCAAGGAGAAACCTGAATGTTTCTACCTTACTCCTCCCTCTTTCCACAGAGAGTCAAACAAGTCCTGGCAATATGTCCTCCTAGAAGTGTCTGGAACACACCACCTCCTCTCTAGCCCTCCTCCCATTACCCCAGTCTATACCATCATTATCCTTTGCCTGGCTTCCAGCCTCCAATCTTAAACTTTCTGAATGTAGTTTCCACCCCATAATCAGATGGTCCTTCTAAAACACAAATCTGATCAGATCACTCCCTTGTTTAAAACCCTCCAGTGGCTTTCCACTGCCCTTGGGATAAATGCTAATCTCCTTGATGTTGCTTAGAAGACTCTACATAGTATCTTTACTTTTCTCTAGTTTCATAGCTTGCTACTTTCCTCCTTGCAGTCTATGCTCCAGCCATTCTGAGCATGTTCTGTGCTCTCTGCCCTTGCACATGCTGCTACCTCTTGCCTGGCACTGTTTCACTCCATTTGGTTTGTTCCTACTCCTTTAGGTCCCCACTTTCTCTAAGAAGTCTCAACTTAGGCCTGGGCTAAGTACCTGATTGTGGAGTTCATAAAGCATCCAAATTCCTCTATTTCTCATCTCACATTATGGAATAATAGCTTGTTTAATTATTGAGTTCCTTTTCCCTTAGATCACTAGACTGTTGTGCCCTCAGCCCCTAGCATGGTTCCTGGAAGAATAAGCACTTACTAATATTTTGCAGAATGAAAAAATGAGTACTCACCAAGCAATCATTTGATATTAATTTTCTTTCATGTGTACTCTCTTATAAGGTAGAAAATGCACTGATCAGACAAATTGAGCATTCTAGGTCACTTAAGTTTTATTTTTCACTTGCGCATAGCCTCCCTGCTGTCAAGAGGACATAAGACACTATATCTGGTATAACAGAACACTACCATATAGTTTTTGACAGGTTAAAGCTCCTATCTTTTCTTCATTGCCTAAGAAATACTCATTAGCACTGTTGCTGAAGAAACTATACTATGACAAGTCACACCAAACTTCTGCTCTCTAGACATTTATTTCCTACTTGCTATTTCTTGTATCAGGAACTCCCTTCCTTTAGTTAATGGCCTGCAAGTCTTCCAACACTTAGGCCTGGAGTCCAGCCCGTTTGGAAGCTTTCCTGAATTGTACAGGTTGGGTTTGGGGCTCTTTGCCTTTGTGCCTGCAGTACTGTGGGTACTCCTATTGTTTAGCACTCATCATTGCATACATTATGGGAGCTTTCAGAGAGTATTTTACTGAAAGCCTGGGACAGTGCCTGACATAGAAAGAAATGCTAAGATTTAAATCTTGAATTCTCAGCTCCATCAGTTACTAGTTGGTTGACCTTGGGTAACCTTAAGTGTCAAGTAATTTATTTCATTACATTAATTCTAATCTTCACAAACTAGAAAGTGTTGGAGCCGGGATAGAATCCAAGTATGATTGTGAAACCTGTGCTCTTTTCACTACATCACTGCATCTAAGACTGATTTTCTTATCTCTGAGTGGGAATGATAACATCACAAAGAGAAGATAAGTTGAATACTTGAAATAACTGAAAACATGAACTCTCTCCTTTATGGATCTTTCTGATAGTCCTCTAATATTCATGGCTGCCAGAATCTAGACTTTTTTTTTTTTTTTTGGTGGCTTGCAGGAACAGGGATCTGAACCCTTGACCTTGGTGTTATAAGGTCATGCTCTAACCAGCTGAACTAACCGGTCAGCCTTAGACTACTCTTTATCAAAGTTTCATGTTACAGCAACTCCTAGTTGGCTAAGGGTTACTATTTGTGTTCTTTTCTTTTCCAGGTCAGTTCAGAAGTTTCTTCAAATGAATTGGAAAATAGTCTCTGTTTCCAAAATAAAGTACATGGGAAGAGAGATTCTTTTCCTTGAGGCAAAGGACAAAAATGCCTTTTTACAGTTCTCAATGACTCGTGATGGAAGGGGCAGGGGAGGTAAAGGAAAAAAGCTAATTTCAGGGCAGGGGAAGCAAAGGAAAAAAGCTAATTTCAGTAAAAGATTTCAAGATTGGTAACCGAGAATATAGGGATGAAACTTTGTTTCCCTCCTACCAAAAAAGGATACTGGAACAGAACTAGGATCACAGCAAGAAATACAAGTGAAGCCAGATTTTGCAGCAAACCAGTCTAACCCATTCTCCACACTGTCCCATTAAACAGCATACTAAACATGAACCTTTGCTTACTCTGCTAAAATCTTAAAAATGCATAAGTTTTTGTACTAGAACACACTGAAACCTGGCAAATACTAATATTACCTAAAAGTCCAGTAATACTGAAGTCGTTCTCAGGCTGGATGTAACGGGTAAGAAGGGCAATGTTGTTTCTTGCAGGTTTGAGAATCTTGCCTGCAGTAAATCTTGCCTCTTATTCTAAGTCCTTGCTAGGCTGTGAACAACAGGCCAAAGATTAAGAACAGACTTGGAGATCACAGGCCTCAGGCATGCAGTTCACGTACCTCTACTACCTCTGCTTAGACTGGCCTCAGAGAGGTTCCAATCCCCCACTGGCAGAGTTGAGGGTATGTTGAGCTTTAGGTGGGAACTTGCGTTTCTTGTCTTCCTTGGCTCTCATTTTCTATCTCCTGTTTTAGAGCTATTTAGTCCCTTGAATGTATGTGGAACATACAGGTAGCATAAGTATGTGCCCTTATTTAGCTCCAGCGTAAAAACTGTAACTTCGCTGAAAGTTTAACTGAAAGTCTTGGCAAGAAAGGAGATAGCCTGTGGAGGATACAAAGAGCCATATTTGGGGAAAATAGCTTAGCAGATGGCTGCCTTTGGTGAAAACCTAGTGTACACTACTAGAAGATTCAAAGTTCATTCACTGACCCTCGCCCCTCGCGTGCCGCCTCCCCCCTTACCCAGGATTCTGGACAGTGAAGTAGGGTGGGGGGAGAGAGCAATTTGGAACGCTCCCGGCAGGGGAAAGAGTTCTAAGAAAGGTGACCAGAAAAGAGAGTTTCTGGGGAGAGAGGTGACGGGTGCATACGTGAAAGGGAAAGACGGTGGGCAGGGCAAGAGGTGAGGGCAAGAGAATGACAGCAGGCACAGGGAGTGTGGGCCAGAACCAGAAAAGAGAAGGCTCTGCAGTAATAGGGCGGAGGGACGGGGTGACAGTCCAGGGCTGGATCCAGGACGAGGGAAGGTACGAAGTGAGGGCTGGGGGTAGGGCCGAGCCTCACAGGTCGGGTGGGAAAACGAGGGTCGGCCAAGAACTCGGTCCCGACAGAGCAGGGTTCAGAGAGTGGACAGAAAGGATTCGATTTCTAGCTTCGTGGTCCCTCGGCGCCACCCTCACGCACCTGCAGGATCCGGGTCCGCAATGCCAACGCCGCCGCCATGGCCCTCCGCTGCCTGTCCTTCGCTCCCCAAGCCCCTACTGCCCGTGACTCCCTAGAAGCACCGCCGAGGCCAGGCCTCGCCCTCCACCCCGCTGGATCTCCTCATTGGTAGAGAGGACCATTTCCTCTACCCAATCACTCGCCCGAACACCTGACTCCACCCCCCCCTCCTCACTCCCAGTCCTGGGGATGTGTGGTTGGTCAGAAGCGGAAGAGCTCCCGCCCCCTCCTACCTCAGCCAATCCTGTGGGCGAAATTAGGGACGACGCCCCTGACTTGAGCACTCTATATTGAGCACTCGGGGAAGACGCCCCCTATCCGGGGATCCTGATTGGCCACAGGCACGACCGAGGCCCCACCCCGCTCCCTGAGGAAAGTAAATAAGACCCTTCAAGAATTTTGCAGTCCCTCCACCTCGACAACCGCGCGGGGGGCGTGGCTCCTTAGGGGCGGGGCGAGGCAAAGATTGCTTTATGGGGCGGGGAAACGAGACTCGGCTGCGAGTTGGGAGAGGGTTTCTCTTTGGAGGCGTGGTTTGTGAAGCTCCACTTTCCCGCCGACGGTTGACCACGTCACGTGACATGGGTTGGAAGATGGCGTCTCCCACAGATGGTAAGAGCCGGCTTAGAGATCCTTCACTTGCAACCTCCTTCTGTAGTCCTTTGGGAACGGCTACTCTCTGTCTGCTCTTCGAACACAGGCTTCTTTCCTGGACTCCTCTCCTTTGCCATTCATCTCTTTTCCTTGGGATCAGTGCCCGTGTTCAGCTCGCCGTTTCTTCACAGCGGCTCCAGAGGTGCCCAGTTTCCCCGCTATGTACCTGGAGGGTGGAGAAAGGCACCAGCGAGGGACCCCTTCTGGGCAAAAGACTGGAGGTTGCCCTGGTCCTCCCTTAGCCCCATTTGAGTGAGACTGAGGGTCACGGGGGAGATGCTGCTGGGGGGAAAGGAGGTGACTTACCGTAGGTTTCTCCTCGAGGCGCCCCTTTGAAGTTTCTTCACAGCGGCTCCAGAGGTGCCCAGTTTCCCCGCTATGTACCTGGAGGGTGGAGAAGGGCACCAGCGAGGGACCCCTTCTGGGCAAAAGACTGGAGGTTGCCCTGGTCCTCCCTTAGCCCCATTTGAGTGAAACTGAGGGTCACGGGGGAGATGCTGCTGGGGGGAAAGGAGGTGACTTACCGTAGGTATCTCCTCGAGGCGCCCCTTTGAGGGGTCGGTTCTCTTCTCATTGAGCACGGATGGAATGATTCTCTCAAACCCTAGCAGGGGCTGGTGGCTGTCCTCATCCCGGGACTGAGCCTCAAGAGAAACATGATTCTCTCCTGTCTCCTTAGTTTGAGACCGTTGCCCTGGAGCGAGTGAAGCGGGGGACCTGAGGAAAATGAGAACTGAGCTTTTTAGTGTAGTCTTGCACATGTCGAAACTTCTCTTGTGTCTGCTTTATGTATTTCATCAGGCCGAGTGAAAGAACAATTTCGGCTTATATGTTGTCTAAGATGTAAGTCATCTCAGGCAGCAGTTAGGTTTTGGTATACCCACGTGCTTTTTGCACCCGGTTCTGTATTATAGAGTTAGGATCATACAGTCGTTTTTGATCTCAGTTTTTGCTTCTACCACCCCCAGCCCCATGCCCACTTCATTAATGTGTAGTTTTAACTCCTCAAACAAACGCATTTTATGTTTGGAAGTAATTTTGGAAGTTCATTGCAGGAATGAGTAAATTGAGGCCAAGGAGAGCTTTATTGAGTACCTGCTATATGAAAAGCATAATGCTAGGTCCTTTGGGAGACGGAAAGATGCATCGAACATGTAAACACTTTTTTTTCAGTTTCATTTTAGATTTCGCCTCCCAAAGAGGCTTTCTCAGAACACATAATCTGGAGTTGGTCCTCTCCACCATTATTCACTATCTCAGTATTTTCATCGTCATCATAGTTATTCTGTTAATTTTGCCCCTTTCATGACAGATTATAAATTGCAAGTCTGTCTTGTTCATAGTTGAATCTCAGGGTTTAGCACAGAGCCTGGCAAGCAATAGGCCTTCAATTCACATTTACTGAAAGAATAATTAGATATATGCAAAAGTAATATATTACTTGATCTTGTTTTAACTGAGTCTTAAGGTTTTTTGAGTACAGGTACATACTGTATAACAAATTATGGATGTTCAGAGTCAGAAGTAATTCTCCTGCCTGGGTGCTCTCTTGCTAAAATGTCTTTCTCTTGCGCCCCCCCTCCCCGCCCAAAACGGCATTTAAAAAATCAGCCAAAGGAATGGGGAATTACTGTTTAATGGGTATAGAGTTTCAGTTTGGGAAGGTAAAAACGTTCTGGAGATGGATATACTGATAGTTGCACAACGTTAATGTACTTAATGCCACTGAACTGTACACTTTGAAATCGTTAAAATGGTGAATTTTATGTTATGTGTATTTTAAAAACTCAGCCATTGTTATTAAAATTTTTAGTTCATTAAGTTTTAGAACTGTGTTCCTTGAGTTTGATTTTTCCCTGTCTTCTCTCAATTTCTTTTCCAGGAAAAGTTCTTTGGCCAGGAAGAGTATTGGAAACATATTATTCCTTTGGTCTTCTAGCCATCTCCGTGGTCATGTTATTTGCACTCTTGGTTTTTAAGATTTCATTTTCATCTCTTACAGTTTCATCCTTCCACCTAATGTTTTCTTTTAAATCTGACAAAATCAAGATGAGCACTTTGAACTTAAATTCAGCTTCTAAATAAGTATGTCATCCTAAAGTATTCCACTGCTTAGCTCTCTCACTTCTATTTTTAGTGTTACACTTGTCTCTGTCTTTAAAATTTAATTCAAATAATGGTGATTTGAAAATAAGTTTAGTAATTTGCTCTTTTGTGTTTTTCATGCTAAATTTGCTGGAACTTCCTTGAAAGGAGAAAATTGAAATCCAACTAAAGCCATTTAAGAAATTTATGAGAATAAGACTCACAGCATAGTTTGAGTTGTGTCCCAGACTGTGGTATCATAAGGTCACCCATGTTGGTTATTGGTTCCTACCCTCCCAATAAGTTTATTTTTGTTATGGTTGAGCTTCCCATCAGTAGCATTCCTTGGGAATTTGAAAACTGGCATTTTGTTTTACACACAGCTTTTCTTTGTTACCATTCTTGGATGTTTTGTTAAGGCAATATTAGAGTTGAGTTCTTTACCATTTAAAATGCCATTGGAAATTCCCTAGGAATACTTGGTAAAATAAATTCAGTTTAGAAAAAAGCGCATGTTGAAAAATTTTATACATATGTACATTTTCTGGGGAGTGAGTCCACAGCTTTTTTTTCAGATTTCCAAAGATGTGGCTTTCCTAGAAAATGTTAAAAACCACTGTTTATAACACTGAATGAACTAATTTATCCACCTAGTTAGCAGACTGAGCACACAGTAAATACTCAACAATTGTTAGTTTGAGCACCTACTGTGTGCAGGGGAAGAGTGGGGGGGAACGATGTCAAAGAATTAAGCAGGAGCTAGATCATGTAGGATTTTATAGGGTAGGGTAGATATAAATTCACAAATTTAGCTGGGAAGAAACCCTTTAAGCTGGAGAATGACATGAACTCTTTGACATTTTCAAAAAATCAAGTTCTGGCTACTTCATGAAGAATAGATTTGGGGGCAGGAAGGGGGAAGGGTAAGAATGGGAGCAGGGAGATCTTTCAAGAGGCTAGTTCAGGAGAAAAGTGATGGTTTTTTAGATTAATTTGGTTTTAGGGTATATTTTGGAGATAGAAACTATTGGATTTACTGATGGGCTTGTTATAGAAGGGTAAAGGAAAAGGAGGCATGAAGGATGACATCTGGGTTTTTTTCTTTCTATTTTAATTTTTTTTTTAACATCTGGGTTTTTGATTTGAGAATTAGGGTTTGTGGTGGTGCTTATTCCTTGAGATAGGGACGATTAGGAGAATATGGTTTTGAACATATTAGGTTTAAGGGTTTTTTCACACATGTAAATGGAGAGAGATGTGAAGTAGCCACTTACACATATAACTCTGAAGTTTAAGAGAAAGTTTTGGGACTGGAAGTATAAATATGGAGTCTTGGCATGCAGATGAAGGTAAAGGCTATGGGTCTAGGCGAGATAGAGAGTGGAGCCAGCCTGGGATGGGGTTTGAGTGGAGGAGGAGACTTGAGAAGGAGGAGTTAGTGAGGTTGAAGAAAAAACCCAGCATAATGGTTTCATAGGAGCTGAGAGTGGAATGTTTCAAGGACAGTGGTCAGTGTATGGATGTTGCAAAGAGGTCACATAAGAGAATAGAGAAGTGACCACTGGATTTAAGAACATACATATAGATGAACTTCACAACAGCAGTTTCCATATATGTAGGGACAGAAGCCTGATTGTTGTAGATTAGGAGAGAGGGGGAGGTGAGGAAGTGGAGAACAGAATGGACAACTCAAGAACTTTGTGAAGTAGGTGTGGAGGAGGTCATGGAGTCATGAGAGAGTTTTTTTAAAGAAGAGATATTCTAGAGCAGGCTTGCTGGAGCATGAGCCTAGAGAAGGTAGAAACTGACGGTGCAAGAGAAAGATTATTTAAGATGTCCTTGACAAAGCAAGAAAAGATGGCATCCTAAGTCCTAGCAGAGGAGTTTATCTTTCGTGGGTGCAGGGATATTTAATTGATTGTAATTGGAGGAAAGTCCGAAGGTATGAATAAAGAGGCAGGGGGGGATGTCCTTGACAAAGCAAGAAAAGATGGCATCCTAAGTCCTAGCAGAGGAGTTTATCTTTCATGGGTGCAGGGATATTTAATTGATTGTAATTGGAGGAAAGTCCGAAGGTATGAATAAAGAGGCAGGGGGATTGGTGATACTTATTTTTTTAAAAAACACTCCAGTGAAATATCACTCCCATTTTATAGATTGGGAGAGTGAGGTCTGGTGAGGAGAGTGATTTATTTGTATTACATCATGGCCCAGTAGCATCAATAGTTGTAGAACTCAAATCTGTAGAGTTCCAGGTGAGTGTTCTTTGACACTGAAATGTCATAAAATATAAACTAATGTGTTTAATCTCTTCTGTGCTTATCTGGGTGTTTTGTTCTAGGGACAGATCTGGAAGCATCTTTGTTAAGTTTTGAAAAACTTGACCGTGCCTCACCTGATCTTTGGCCAGAACAATGTAAGTTTTTGCTTCTATATCAGAATTGGTGCAGGAGAACCAGTGTTCTTTAGGGAGACTTTTGAAGAATTATCATTTAACTGTAATGATTAAAGTTTTTATTTTACCTCAAAGAGAAGTAACCAAGGTCCAGTGTCAGGAATAACTGTTTGGTGTTTTAATCTTTTAGGAATAAAGTATCACTCAGGAGATGATAGTGAGCCTTTAAACAATAATTATTATTATGATTTTTTTGGGTGGCTGGCCAGTTCAGGGATCTGAACTTTAACCTTGGGTTATCAGCACAATGCTCTAACCAACTGAGCTAGGAGGCTATGCTATCCCCATTAATTATTTTTAAAAACTACTTCTGTGGGCTGACCCCATGGCTCACTCGGGAGAGTGCGGCGCTGGGAGCGCAATGGCGCTCCCACCGCGGATTCGGATCCTATATAGGGATGGCCGGTGTGCTCACTGGCTGAGCGCGGTGCGGGTGACGCCAAGCCAAGGGTTACGATCCCCTTACCAGTCACAAAAAAAAGAAAAAAAAAAAAAACCTACATTTGTAATAAATTCAGATAATACCGAGATACATAAAGCATTTCCACACCTCCTTCAATCAGTCTTACAAAGTTAACCACTGCTAATAGTTTGGTATAAATCTTTTTGACATTTTTTATGCTTATACAGATAAACAAATTTATTTTAAGTATATAGAGAGTTTTTTGTTTGTTATAATGATGTAGTCATGTGTGAATGAACTGCAGCTTAACTTATTCTACTCAGTAATTTTTTTTTTTTTTTTAAAGATGACTGGTAAGGGGTTCTTAACCCTTGACTTGGTGTTGTCAGCACCACACTCTCCCAAGTGAGCTAAGCGGCCATCCCTATATAGGGATCCAAACCCATGGCCTTGGTGTTATCAGCACCACACCCTCCCAAGTGAGCTAAGCAGCCATCCCTATATCGGGATCCAAACCCATGGCCTTGGTGTTATCAGCACCACACTCTCCCAAGTGAGCCACAGGCCGACCTTCCACCCAGTAATTTATTAATGGATTTTTCTATGTTGGAATGTGTAGGTCTATTTCATTCTATTAAATGTATTTTATTTGGGGCCGGCCCATGGCTCACTCAGGAGAGTGTGGTGCTGATAACACCAAGGCCATGGGTTCGGATCCCATATAGGGATGGCCGGTGTGCTCAATGGCTGAGCGCGGTGCGGGTGACGCCAAGCCAAGGGTTACGATCCCCTTACCAGTCACAAAAAAAAGAAAAAAAAAAAAAACCTACATTTGTAATAAATTCCGATAATACCGAGATACATAAAGCATTTCCACACCTCCTTCAATCAGTCCTACAAAGTTAACCACTGCTAATGGTTTGGTATAAATCTTTTTGACATTTTTTATGCTTATACAGATAAACAAATTTATTTTAAGTATATAGAGAGTTTTTTGTTTGTTATAATGATGTAGTCATGTGAGCGTGGTGCTGACAACACCAAGTCAAGGGTTAAGAACCCCTTACCAGTCATCTTTAAAAAAAAAAAAAAGTATTTTATTTTATGGATATACTATAGTTTATGTATTTATACCCTATTTGGAAACCTAAGTTATATCCAATTTTTTGTTTTACAAACAATTTATCAGTGAATGTCTTTGCTCATAGATCTTTGTGTATAAGGAATAGGGTAGGATGACTGTGTACGATGAGTGCCCGTTTTCTCACATCTAGCCAATATTGGATGGTACTAATCTTTATTATTTTTTGTTTGCATTTCTTTTTTTTAGTGACGTTGAGCATTCTTTGATTTTTAAATATCTGATTTTTATTTTTATGCTTAATGTGATTCTTCCTGTGAGACATTTAAATAAATAATTGGATTGACAGAACAGCATACCTAAAAAAGAAGCTTAAACTTTCTGATAAGAGATATCATATCTCACCACTCACCCAACCAGCTAACTCCTGGTCCCTCAAAGTTCAGTTGAGGCATTAGTTTCTCTGACAAGCTTTTCCTGCCCTCTTGGTCTGATTTAGATTTCTACTTTTTGTCCTCCCATAGCACATGGCATCTTTCTTGGAGCGCTTAAACAATATTATAGTTATTTATTCTCTTCCAGACTGTAAGCTCCTTGAAGCCAAAGCTGTTTTCTTATTATTTGAATTCTGTATGCCTGAACACCCAAATATTTATTGAATGAATTTTTGTTTTCTTTTTAGTACCAGGTGTTGCTGAATTTGCAGCTTCCTTCAAAAGTGTAAGTAATGCCTTACTTACCTAATGAAGTTTGTCCAAAGTTCTGCCAGTGGGTAAAAGCTCAAATCTCTTTTATTTCTTTATTTTCAAGAACAATGTTTTAGCCTTCAAATCATTTTGTAACTGCAGCCCTGTAAATTTGTTTATATTATCAGCATGTTAATTGATGAAAATGTTTTCCTCTGTCCAATTGCTCTATTTTGACATTTTGACCTTTTCTCTTAACCTCTTTTCTCCACTTGAAAGCTTTTTAAGGTAAGGCAGTTGAAATATTTAATGTAACACCAGTACTCTTTGTGCCCAAACTATAATTTTGAAGCTTTCTCTTTTATTTATTTGATGAGTTATAACCTTAATTTTTTTTTTTTTTTTGCGCTGGCTGGTATGGGGATCTGAAGCCATTATGATCTTAACTTATACCTTCTTAGAGGATTTTGAAATTTCTTGGTGCTCCATGAGAAACCTGAAGGAAGACATCCATTTAGAGCGACAGACTTTTTCACTTTCAGGGCAGCAGGCATTGTGCTTGATGCTCTAAATATGTTCCCTTATATATTCCCACAACCAAGAAAATATGATGATAATAATGTTAGCAAACACTTACATAGGGCTTACCATGTGTTAGGCACAGTTCTAAGTACTTTACATATGTTATTTAATCTTTCCCAAACCATATGAGGTATAGGTAGTGTTGTCATCATCCCCAGACAAGGAAGTTACCCAAGTTTATAGGCTGTAAGTAGCAGAACCAGGCTCTGAACCCATTAGTCTGATTATTGCTGTCTATATTACTATCACCATACTTAGAAGTATTTGGGCCCAATGTTAAAAGCACTGGCTGGCAGCAAAACTTGAAAGTGACAGACCAGGATTTGAATAGAGATTCCAAAGTTCATGCTCTTTCTTTTAAACCATGCAGTTGGGGATTCTAATATAACTCTCATAGTACCTTACTAAATGCTTAGCATTCCCTACTCATTATTTAGAGTTAAAAGTGCTGAGTTAAATATTAAGGTGCCTCTGGGCCTGAGGCTTTCAGGTCCCATTAGAGTATTTGTTTAGAGGGAGTCTGACTTTGTGGTCTCTTTAATTTGTTCAGGAGCTAGCTATGAATACTGGTCTGTGCTTCTTCAGCATCCAATAAGGCCTGAGCATAAGGAGTGCAGGATAGCATACAGCTTTAGAGTCAGACACACTTGGATTTGAGTCCTGCCTCTGCTACTTAACTCTGTGATCTGAGCAAACTTTCTAACATTTTTGAGTCTTAGTTTTCTCATCTGAAACTACCTCATAGAGTTCTTAGTATAGAATGCCTTAATTGCATGTAAAACACTCTCCATAGTGCCTAGGACATAATAAACAATACAAGGTAGCTATTATTTTTAGATCAGCTTCTGTTTAGTAGATGGTATGTAATTTAATTTTCTTTCATTATCATTTATACTTAGTTTTCAGTTTAGTTAATTATATTTGGTTACAACTAAATATTTTAAGATGTAAATATAAATGTGTGGATTTTTTTTTTTAAACTTGTAGAGTATGGTGTTTTAAAAAAAAACCTGATTAAATATCTACACCGTTTCTCTAGAAATATGCACATACAAATTACTTTGAGTTTTGTTTCTGTGGGTTCGTATAGTCTTTTTCCCTACGAGGGGTAAAACATTGAGTTTGACTTTTTTTTTTTTGTCTTTTTTTCCGTGTCCGGCAACGGATCGCAACCCTCAGTGTCGCCCCCGCACCGGACTGGGACCGGCAATGGGACCGCAACCCTCGGTGTTGCTCCCGCGCCTCGCTCAGCCAGTGAGCGGGAACCGGTCTGTATGTGGGATCCGAACCCTCGGGCAGGAGCGC